TGAAGCTCATACTGGTCTTCTGTTGTTTTTCTTACTGATTTAAAAATAACTTCTTATTACTTTACAGAAACACTTTTTTTTTTAAGTCTCAGTCACTAGGTTGGTTAATTAGGGTAAATCATATGCTACATGTATCATATACCTTTTATTTTTGACACTTTTTCCGTTGGCTACTTGTCCTGGTTTCATTTATTCTGTCTGATGTGTTCAGTGAAAGAAGACTACTGTCTCAGAAATAAGAGATGGTAGTCATACTATACATTGCAAAGTAATAGCATATCATGAGAGCTTCAATCAGGCCAAAACATTTTCAAAACAAGACTGCTTCCTTTGTGAAGATTGTTGCTTTTGAAGCTCAGTCTACTTCCTAAATTTTCACAGTAATCCTAGACTTTTTCTAATTCTAGATTTATCTTTTTTTTTCATAGCTCAAAGATGTTTCATATCTGCCTTTGTTTATTTTTGATAAAGTAAATTACAGAGGAACACACTCTCTTTTGTAGCACCTATTGAAATTTCGTTGCACTCGGACAGTATGTTCCAACAGAGGTCAAACCTCTTTACAGTTTCCTACAGCCTAGATGGAAATACAGACTTCTCAAAACATTGTTTTCTTTTGCCATAATCAGATGGTCAGGTGCCTCTTACATTCCACTTTGATAGATAAAATGCATCTTGACTTCTTGCTAGAAGTGGCAAACATTTTTCCTGATCTCCACATCTGACAGTTCCCTCTGTCACATGGAGATATCCTCCGATTTACTCCATAATCGGTTTGGTTTGTTTTTTTTCTCCTTGATCTTATTTGTCTTTTCTATTTGTAAAGCTTGTGAAGTGACTGGTGATACTCTGTCTCTTGTTAGCATACAAAGAGAAGCTGCATAGTGGATAGGTGAAGAAGTTACTCTTGTGTAGGTCAACAAAGGAATCTGTACACTGAAGAGAGGAAGGGTGTCTGAAAACAATTGTGTGCAGTAATCTTTAATATATATATAAAAAGTAATTCAAAATCTCTTAATGCCATACTTTAAGGAAAAACCGTTGTGCATACAATTCCATTTCAAATGTTTCTTTTTATCTGTAATCGTTTAGGCTCTCTCTTAGGTGAGTGAATGTTTTCAGACTATAATATAATCCAGATGGTGTTTTTATTTTTTTTTTTTTTTTTTTTTTCCCTGATACACTTCTCTTGTAGTTAGCACTTTCTTATGATAGGTAATAAACCTTCCCTACATACTGGCACAAATTCTTTATGCTGATGATTCATTAAGTACAAAGCTTTCCTCTTCATGCTTTGATGATAGCAGTAAGCTTTTTTATAAAATGCAGTTATGAGCACAAAACTGTGGAATCTGGAAACAATCTAAACATGGGAGTCAGATAAGTGAAAGGACTTGCACTTCCAGTAGGATGTGCAAGATGTATAAGCAAGTGGACTTTGCAAGATGGGTTAAAAATAAGCCTTTGTGCTCTTGTGGATGAAGTGTGCTCACGTATGTTGTTTGTCTGACTGCTGGTGCGGAATGATGTGATAGTAGTCCAAATTAAAGTTTAAAATCTAACAGGAGCTTCCTTGATGTTGAGATTTGGACTGCTGCAGTCATTTGTAACAATTCAATTGCCTCAGTTGACTAAGACAGAAATCTACACTGGTGGGCCTTTTTGTCTGTTTGAGTACTTAAATTATTGATTTCTTGGGAAGGGACTTTGAGTTCTTCACACTTAACAGTGAAAAAATTGCCATTATTCACCCTGTAGTGACTATTGGTAACTATTTGGTATGATAACTGTGCTTTTTGAAGAAGTAAAACATATATGAACACATTATAGAAGGTGCCGAATGTATAAGGTTGGAATGCATTTTGGTTCAGAGTCTCTGCAAAGCAGTAGTTAGTCTGCATGATAGGTAGGTGTTTGTAAACACTGCAGTAAAATTTTGTTGTGGTTTAACCCCAGTTGAGCAACTAAGCACCACAGAGCCACTTGTTCAACTCCTCCGTGGTGGGATGGGAGAGAGAAGCAGAAGTGTAAAAGCTGGGAGAAATTGTGGGTTGAGATAAAGACAGTTTAGCGAGTGAAGCAAAAGCCACACATGCGCAAAGCAAACCAACAAACTCATTCACTAATTCCAATCTACAGGCAGATGTTCAGCCATCTCTAGGAAAGCAGGGCCCCATCACACATAATAGTTACTTGAGAAGATAAGACACCATAGCTCTAAATGTCCCCCTGTTCTTTCTTCTTCCCCCAACTTTATATACTGATCATGGTGTCACACGGTACGGGATATCCCCTTTGGTCAGCTGTCCCAGCTGTGTTCCCTCCTAGTTTCATGTGCACCCACAGCCTACTTGTTGTCAGGGTGATGTGAGAAGCAGAAAAGGCCTGGACTCTGTGCAAGCACTGCTCAGCAATATAAAAAAACATCCCCGTGTTATCAACATTGTTCTCAGTATAAATCCAAAACATAGCCCCATACTAGCTACTATGGAGAAAATTAACCATTACAGCCAAAACCAGCACAATACTCTTTCAAAAATGATTACTTCTCTAATCTTAGAAGTATTCTTGACATAAAGTTGTGCAGTTTCGTAGTACATAGGACATCAGAACATTTCAATCTGTGTTTGTATGCTTAGACTTAAGCCTTGCATTTAATATAACTCTATATTTTGATAATGGCAATTAGTTCAGTGACAAATACACATGTTATTTTTACTGTCTCTGAAAACTGTGTGGAAGAGATGATGACATTGACATTCCCCCTCTACTCTGCCCTGGTGAGACCTCACCTGGAGTATTGTGTCCAGTTCTGGGCTCCCCATTTCCAGAGGGACAGAGATCTACTTGAGAGAGTCCAGCGAAGGGCTACGAGGATGACTGGTGGACTGGAACGACTGCTGGATGAGGAGAGGCTGAGAGACCTGGGGCCTTTTAGTCTGGAGAAGAGAAGACTTAGGGGGATCTAATTAATGTGTATAAACATATGTGGGCTGGGTAATAGGAAGGAAAGGGCAATCTCTTCTCACTTATGCCCTGCGATAGGACAAGGGGCAGTGGATACAAGCTAGAGCACAGGAAATTCCACCCCAACATGAGGAAGCACTTCTTTACTGTAAGGGTTCCAGAGCACTGGAACAGGCTCCCCAGGGAGATTGTGGAGTCTCCTACCTTGGAGATTTTTAAGACCCGTCTGGATGCGTTCCTGTGTGACCTGCCCTAGGTCTAGGCCATCTAGACTACTAGATGGTCCTGCTCTGGCAGGGAGGTTGGACTTGATGATCTCTGGAGGTCCCTTCCAACCCCTAACATCCTGTGATCTGTGATTCTGTGAAAAGTAGAAGCTAGATCTGCAAAACTGTCTTGATTACTTCCTGAAGTTCTGTAGAAGAGTTCTACTGTGCTTTGAGGAAAGTTCTGCTTTTCTGGTTGTAGCTATTTCCTCATTCCTTTTTACCACCTTCCAGGTTAATGGTGAACCACAAATGGTTTCTGAGTAGGAAAAAAATGTTGGTAAGTTTGGTCAAGTGTTAAAATTAGAAGGAAAGGTACTTCTTATCTGTACATTTTTTTGGTATGTTTTTATTATTTAAAAATATCCTAGGTGAGTGCTCTCTCTGCCAAACATACTGCAGTTTGAGATGAGCATTCTAAGTCACTTCCACAGTAAATTGACTGAATTCTGAACTGTCTGGTTCATTTTTTCCCCCTTCTTCTCTTTTATGGTGTTCTAATAAATGCTGAAATTGCTTTTCTGACTTATCTTTCTTAGATGACTGCTCTGGAGATTTTTGACTGGGCAAAGTTGATAATTTTTTTGGAAAAAACTAAGTTGCCTGTCATGAGCAATGCAAGAACAATAATAGCAGCAAATTTTTTCATGTTTATATTTTTTACCAGCAAATTCCATTTCGTGACTGTGTTGGTTCTATATGGCTGCTACTTAAAATTATACCACATTTTTGTTCTTAGTTATTAAGTAACCTCTTCCTCTGTAATTTCAATTTAACTCAACAGCTTTTCAAATTTCAGAAAATAATGAGAACATCTCTTGGTAGTTCTGATACATTTTATTTAGTGTGATGCATTGAGGATAAGATGGGAAGATCTATAGAATGCAAGATAGTGTTTTTCACATAGTTTAGGTAATTCATATTATCATGAGAGTTGATTGACAGCCACATGATTGAGACTGTCATATCACTGTGAAAAAAATACAGATAAACTTAAATTACCTTTGAAGTTCAATACACTACTAAATTTCCTGTTTCCTCCTCTGGTACTGATTTACTGATGTACAGCAGAGTTGCCCTTTATTTGGTTAGAAGAATAGTATTTTCACTTTACAGTATGCTGCTTCCTGTACATAATTCTTTAGATAACAAAAAATAATCTGCTGAGACTTCAATTTATCCTTTTGCATAATACTGTAATGCAAATCCTGCTACGCTGCAGGGAAAATACAAACACAATAGTATGCATATATGTATGCATCTCTTGTGTTGGGAAGCACCATAAATCTTCTATAAGTCATAGTCCTATCCTCTGCTGATGTGTGAATAATAGTGCTCAAGGAATAGAATAACATCCACAGTCAGACTTTTCCACTCAGTTCAAACTTTTCCATTTCCTCTTACGTATGGCTACAGCAATACTGAAGGATGTCAGAGAGATGGGTTTTTTGGAAGCTATTGGTGGAGAACCACTCCTGTAGGATATCCATTCTGATAGGTCTTCAGAAAATGTTTGAAAGTATTGAATTAGGCACACTCAGTGTAAATAGTGTAAATAATGTAAGTAGTTGATTATTTTTAATGGAAGAGAGAGGCTGTGTTTCTACTAGCCAAGTGTGTGTGGTGGTTAGTAAGACTTTTGAAGTCAAAAAGTAAAGAATTCTTAGAAAGGTGCTTCAGTAAAATGAAATATTTTGTGTCTCCTACTCTGCTGCTGAATGGCCAAGTCTATATGGTGAATCCTAAGAATATTTCAGATCCTGGGTCTGTGTTGTACATTAACTGCATGCCCACTTCCTATTGAGATAGGAATGGTAGAACGGAAATGTTTATAAAAGCAAAATTGAAAAATGCTAATATAACGGTTTTTTGAAATTAAATCTTTCATCATTATATGAAATGCTTTTTTTTTTCTAAATAAAATAATAAAAATGAATTCTTGTTTATATTTTGATGATTTTTGTAGAAGTTCAGTCAAACATTTTACTTTTTCCTAATTAGCAAATAAATTATCATTAAAGAAAATTAATCCCTCACATTACTTTAGTGGGGGACGAAGTATGTACATAGAAAAGTTTACTTGCTATTTTAACACATTAAAATAGTTGTTTATTGCATACATGCATATGGGTGGATATACACCCTTAAACTTTTCAGCTTTGGAATTTCCTCTTAGAAGAGAGCTTGTCAGGTGTAGATTATTCTAGTATGTTTAAATAATAAAACCAGAACAGGGCCATGCTTCGAGATAAATGGGTAACTGAAATGTTGCATTAAGTTAGTTTACCTCAACTCTGTTTTTTTTTTTTTCATGCATGTTCCTTAGCTCTGTGATTTCCTGAAGGTTATTGTTTTGATATGTGTCAAGGAGGGAAGTTCAATATTTCTCAGCTCCTCTACAGAACTGTGGAGGGGGTGGGAAATAGAAAAGAAGGAAAGCCTCTTCCAGTATTGAATATTGTCTCTAAATCTCTGTTCCCTGCTTACATGTTACCTGGACTTATGAATGCACAGTGCAGGAGCAAGACTGAAGAAGAGTAATTAATATATTGCTCAGGTCCTTTTAAGGGCCTGTGACTGTTTGTGGATCTTGTTTCATTTATTGTGACACTGCTAGTACAAATGTAGTTGGAAAAAGAAATGAAAATGCTACAATAATCGGCCACCACCACAGCTTTATGTGGTGGAAGGTGCCTTGATGTCTTCTTCCAAATATTTCTTATTTTTTCCTGGACATCTGCTATGTTGTTGTAGTACAATAACATCCATTTTTTTTATTTCTTTCCTGCATTCAAAATATTTTTATACTTTTCAGAACACTATACATCCATGGCCATACAAAACTGGATTTCATGGTCTGGTATACTGCAATTGAAAAAGCAGCAGCTACAGATGGTAATGCATTACAAGATCAGCAGCTCAGCAAAAATGATGTCCCTATTATAGTGAACAGCTGTATAGCATTTGTTACACAGTATGGTAAGTACAGTGGATTTTATTTAACCTAAGTTTATTTATATATTACCCAAGCCCCCACACTATTGAGTCTTACAGAATGGGTTTATGTATTACCTAAAGTAAAACCATACCCTTGTTATCTGAGCCACCCTTTACTGTGATGGTGAAGCACACTACCACAAATAGGAGAATGAGCAGTTTGAGGAAGTACAGCTTGGGAGATGCCCTTTATAGACACTCTCCTGTTTTAAAAACTGAGTTATTTGCCTGATGTAGCTCAGATAAGCACTGGAGTCCAATGCCTCAGCACAGAACACCTCAGACCTGAAAATAAGCTATGTGAACCTGGAAAGGCCACGGCATGGACTGGTCAGCACATCTTATGGGAACCTGATACTCACTGGGGAGCCAAGCTCAGTCTTACAGCTGCTGTTTTTTCAGCATAATAGCCTAAGGACATACAGTGAGTTACTGTTTGTTTAAGTAAATTTTGTCACAAAACTGTCCTTAACATTAGATCGTATGCAGATGTCTGTGTCCTTTTTACTGCTGCAAATTCATCAGTTTTCTTCTGAAATGCTAAGTACATATGAACCCTGTACAAATCTGTCTTCAGGAAAAATGTACCTGTGACCTCTGTCAATGTGAGAAAGCCTGATTTATATTTCAGTGACTTTAAGTTTAACTGAATAACTTTTGAATATGGCAACAATGTAGGATGGTAAATATTTGTGTTTGGGTTAGAACAGTTACCTGAAAACAAGGGGAAAAAAGGATGGGTTTGATACATTTTTTTAATCATTAGCAATAGGAATTCTAAGTATAATTACTCTGTTTCATGCCCTGAAATGTTGTTAAAGGAGAGTAATTATGTGTGCCACTCAGAACAATCACTCATGTGTTCTAAATTAAAATTAAACTTCCTAATGTCCTTTAAATAAGTTAGATCTTTATTGAAAAGGGTTTATTTTGGCATCAGCATTCCTGGGTATTAAAATACTCATCTGAAAGCAGGAGGAGTTATTTGTACATGTTATTTGTGTGCATACATGTTTTTGTGTCATCATGGTAAAGGTTCTGTTTTAAATTGTGGTCTACAGATGACAGACACTATTGGGCTCAACAGCTGTCCCTAACAGTAACAACCCAAAGGCAGTACCAAATGGTAGCACTTGTGGTCATTTCAAGAAAGGTGAATTGCAAGAACATGAGACGTGATTTCATTGATTTTTGTCAGAGTACTTAATTTGCAGGTACCTAAGAGAAGCAAGGTTTCATTTAAAACAGGTTTTTCTCTCAAGGAATGTAGGGAGTGTGGGAAGTATTTCTACAAAGAGACGAGACTGCGCATCCATGCTATACATCCACAAGTTTAAAATAAACCAAACAACATAATGTTTTGGCTACTGTCTTATGCAGTAACTGCAGATATTCCTGACTGTATTTAAGACTATGAATTTTTTTTAAGTTGGCTTTGAGCTTTGGTGGATTTACTTGTTAAATACAAAAATAATGACTGCCTGATGGCTTCCTGAATGTGAGAAAAATCAGAAGAAAAGGAGTATTTTCTACTCATCTGGAGGCTTCTAAGAATGAAATGCTTCAGGCTGGATGAATACAGTAATACTTTACTGAGTCCTAAGTTGAGTTGATGAGCAGGATAATAAAATGGTTGGAGTTTTGCTCATGCAAGCAGCTATGTTTTATATGTAATAAGATACCAGTCATCAAAGCTTCTTTCCTTTACTGTGCCTTTTGAAATTATTTTTTTAGGGGTTTGGATTACCTGTAGAGTATTCCTGAAATTGTGATCCTAGGCTTGCTTTAATATTATGATGTGTATTTTTACTTTGAGTATAAGCCCACTTGGCAATGTTTTTACTAACGAAGTGAGTATGTGCAGAAGGTCAGAGAGATTTTGGTAGGAAATACTATCTTACAGCCAGTTAAACTTTATTAATATAACAATTTTTGGAATATTTAAAAGAACTCTTGGTCTTACATGTATTTTTATGTCCTGTATTTCTGTGACTTAGGTTTAGGTAGCAAGCAGATCTACCTTAAGAATGGCAATTCTTCCAATGTGACTGAACTGCTGGAAAGCTTCAAAAAAGATGCAAGGAGTGTTAAACTAAGAGCAGGAAAACATCAGCTTGAAGACGTGACTGATGTATTGAAAAGTTTTCTTTCTCAAATAGATGATGCACTTCTCACTAAAGAACTTTATCCGTTCTGGATCTCTGCATTAGGTGATGCATTCAATAGCACTCAATACAAGAAAGGCTCCATGTACATTTTCAGTATCAAAGTTGAGGGGGTTGTTAATTACTTGCCCTGTGTCAGCCTGTGCTTTTTGATGATTGGCAAAACAACTGTAGTGAGAGAAAAAAAAAAAAATGTTTAAAGCTTGGCTGCAATAGACGCATGTTAATCAGAGATGATTTTGTTGACTTTAAGTGAACCAGAAAAATAATAAGAAATAGTGATGTTTCCTTGACAGTATAATCTGTTTCTCTGATGGGAAAACAGAACTATGAGACTAATGCATCAGTTAGTTTCTCATTATGTAATTTGTGATGATTTTTGTACTGTTCTTTTGAAACAGCTGTATTTCTGTTTGTTTCTATATTGTATTATTTACAGACTGCAAGACACAAACCCTTTTCCTCCCAAACTGTGCTATAAAATTGCAGGTGATGTGTGGCAATAAGATAGGCAGAGGAAAAGCTGAGACAGAATATTAATTTCTGCGTTAATGCATTGAAATCATACAAGACTATTTAATGTATGGGATTTTTGTCTTAAAAAGAGATTTAAAGCATATTTCTCTCTGGTTTTGCTTAAGTTCAAAGTTATGGAGGTTGCTTTAATATGAACCACTAGAAGTTTGGGAAATTCAAGTATGAGTATTACACATTTTTGACCTTTGACCTTGCTTTGAACACCCTAGTGTAAAGAATATTATGAATTCATTCAGTTACCACAAGGTTGCTGTGATCTTATCACAAATCAGAAAAGGTTGTAGCTGTAGAAGTTTAGATTTATCTCTTTTGCAAAAGTGTTTAATATTATTAACAGTGATATATTTTCCAGAGTGAAAGCACTCGTGGGAAGAATAAAACATGTAGAAAGATAAAGACCTTTCCATTATTTTTTTGTTTGTTTATTTTTTCTTCCAATTACTAAAGAAACCAGAACACAGGCCAGTAGTTAGTACTAGTAATCAAGTGGAAGAGATGTGCTTTTTGTTTTCAGAAACTTAAGAGAGGCAAGAGACTAAGAAGGAAAAGCTAAATAATATTTATATTGGCTTTGCTCATACTCTGAGCAGGATTATGCTCTGTAGGAGATATGCAGCACAGGGAGGCAGACTTAACTTGAAGGTAGAGGTCTGGCTCCATCTCAGATACTGTAATTCCCAAGCCTGGAATTCCTGACACCAGCACTGCTGCTGTTTAGCTCTGTAGCATTGTACAATTTACTCACCACCACTTCCCCTTTACTCTTATCAGTCTTATATATTTGGAACCTTAAACTACTTTGAGCCTTGAGGCACTTTTCCAATAAAACTTAAAAAGATGAAAACACGTTTGAGGTCTTTTCACATCTCTGGGAACTCCTAGATCCACTCGCACGTGTGCCTGCACACACTGCAGATTAAATATCCTTTGGGAGGAAAAGCAATTGCTATCCAGGGATTTAGTCTTATACTGTAGCAAATGGTGCTTGAATACAGAACTGTATGCTCTTTGTTGCTGATATCGTTTCCCTCTTCTGGTGTAAAATAATAGACTTTATTAATGGTAGATTGTCTGCATTGCCTTTATAAAGGAAAGATTGATTGGGTAAACTCTAATTTTAAATGACTAGATGATGCCAATATAGTTAGTGAGAACTGCTGTTGGTTTTTCTGTGGATTGTTATTAGTGCTCAATGATTGTTATTTCCCGGCAGATACGCAGAACGAGAAGGAGCGTGTGAGGAAGTACGGAGCTTTTATTCGGACGCTTCCACCAGTCAATAGGGCAACTTTGGCTGCTTTAATTGAACATCTTTACAGGTCAATGCAAATGAAGAAATGTAGCAGAGAAATTCTTGTAGTGTGTTCTCAGTGTAACCATTATAAAGGAAATGTGGCTTGTTTCATTAACTAGTAAGCAGCAAAAGCTTATCTGGTTGTGATGCCTAATTATATTTTATTATCTTTAATTTATAATGTTTTTTTTCTTTAGTTGTATTTTTTAGCAGTAGGGATATATAAATATCAATGGGATGGAACAGCCTTACAGTGAGAGAGGGCTGCCAATATATGTGTCCAAGTAGGGTAATTTTTGATGTAGCTTCTTTATATAAACTCATTTTACTCCAGTCTGCTAGTCTTCCAGAAGATTGCTGCAAATGATTCTTGAAATTAAAACTTTTCTTTTCAGGCAAAATGTCCTTCACAATCTGTATTGCACGTAATAACTTTGAGAATTAGCTATGCTTTCTGTTTTTCATCAGTGCTTCATTTTGGAACTGAGGTAGTAGTAGAGAATACCCAAAATATAAACTCATTTAAGCAACAAAGGTCATGTCTTATTCCTAGATCATGTAAACAGCAGTAAATATATTAAAAATGTGTGAATTGGATGATTCTGTAATGTTATGGTTTAATAGTAATGGTCTATATTTTATAATCTATTGAACAAGTCAAATGATGTTCCTGGTAAATTGTACTGGGTAGAGCATGTGTAGAACCTTTTTTTTACAGAAATTTTTGTTCAGAAATTACATTGCATAGCCAGGGACATAGCAGATGTCCTTAAAAAAACTATACAATTCTTAAATTGATGGGTGCTATTATTGGGGTGAATATTAGTGTTTAATGATGTTTCTAAGCATATCCAGTTCAGAGATATTAAAGTTGTCATTGTTCTGTGAAAGTAGTTTGAATTCATGTGTGTAACAGCCAAGTTGGGGTACTTTAAAGTGTTTGCTTATAAAATAGAACACATTATGTAAACAACAGTATTGATTTGAAAAACTTGCTCTGAGTATATAACCTAAGAAGGATCTCATTTCTTTCCACATTTTTTTGTGATCTTAGATCATAAGGTTATAGGTTATACCTACATAACAGTATATAGAGAAGCTGTATTTAGCACTGCTGTGGCCTCACCTTGAGTAGTGCAGTTCTGGGCCCCATAATTTAAGATGGATGTGAAGATCCTTGGATGCATCCAGAGGAGGACAACAAGGCTGGTGAAAGGGCTGAAAGGAGTGGCCTATAGGGAGTGGCCAAGGACTTGATGCTTGTCTGGTTTGGAGAAAAGGAGGCTGAGGAGAAACCTCATTGCTCCCTACAGAGAGCTTCCTGAGACATGGAATTTGAGACAGAGATGCTGATCTCTTCTCCCTAGTGAACTAGGTACCCTAGGTACCACTCCTACCTGTGGTAGGACATTTAGGAATGGTTCAGAGCTGCATCTAGGGAGGTTCATCTTGATGTTAGGAAACATTTCTTTACTGAGAGAGTGGCCAAGTATTGGACCAGGCCTCCTAGAAAGGGGGTCAATGCCCCAAGCCTGTCAGTGTTTAAGAGGCATTGGGACTCTAACTTTCGATAAGCCCTTAAGTGAGCAGGCAGTCTGACAAGATGATCATTGTAAGTCCCTCCTACCTGAACTATTCTTTGCTATTATTGTTCTGAATAATTTTGATATAATTTGATACGCAGATAGAAAGTATAAGTTTTCATTTCTGTAATGACATGCAAGGTAAATAATAAAATTAATATTAAAAATAAATATTATTTTTTTCTTTGCATTTAATGTAGTTATTCCTCTTAAATTGCACTCCATATTCTGTAGAGGATCCTCAGACAATTAAAGGAACAACGATGTTTATTTTTCCTTCAACAGGGTGCAGAAGTGCTCTGAAATCAATCATATGAACCCTCATAATCTAGCCACGGTGTTTTCCTCATGCTTATTTCAAACTGAAGGCCAAACTAGTGAAGAAGTCAATGTAATTGAAGATCTCATTAAAAATTATGTTCAACTTTTTGATGTAGGTATCTTTATGTAGAAGTGTCCTAATTGCTCAGCTTTTAGACATAGTAAAATACAGAAATCTTTTCAAAGATAATCTTGCTTTTAGTTACACTGTCTGAGGATTTGCAAGACTTTTGAACTCTAATTCAGTGGACATTATTCTTTGTCTGCTGTAAATTTTATTTCCTAGCTAGTTTAGCCTGTGTAGGAAAGACTATATAGGATTACTGTGAGCTACTGTTTTACAAATGGGTGTGTGTCCTTCTTCCTGACATTAACATACCAATTTTAAAAAAATTTTACAATTATGACTATTAAAAATAATACTTCAACTCAAATTGTATGGACTTGGTCAGAAATGAAGAACAGACAAATTTTCTGTTTTTAATCTGAGCTGTAGTTACAATAAAGGCTAGAGAAAGTGTTTCATTCCTTAGGCCTAGAAAGAACATTACATCCATCTGGTTAGAAACAATACTACTAACAGAAATTTGTGTTGGACAGTTTGGTTTAGAATTTATTGTGCCACCATAATGTTCTGTGGTAGTTTTTCATGGAGTTCCCCCTCTTATAATATATATCTGTTACAATTTATAGTAAGGAATCCCATCAATGAAGTGCTGTTTCTAACTGATAGAATGTTTTGCATAGCTACGTCTGTAAGAACATGCATAACAGTATTGTTATTAATAATTATTTTCAATTATTTACTATTGTGAGATGTAAGCATTCCTCTATATTTATATTTATCTTAGATTATTAAATTATTGATTGCTAATTTGTTGTAATTTTTATACTAGCTCCCTTATACTTATTAATCGATGAATTTTTTTTTTTCTCTTTTAAACAGATAAATGAAGACCAGGTCAAACAAATGGATATAGAGAACAGCTTTATTACCAGGTGGAAAGACACTCAGGTAAGTGACAAATACCATCTCATATGAAAAGATAATAATCTTTGTTAAAATTGTTGTTTACAGGTTTTTATGCCTTCTAAATATAAATTTTTATTTATAATGACCAGTGTTGTTAGCCATGGAGCTGAGGTAAATGAAATAAAAGAATTGGCATAAACTGATAAAGCAAAACAGTTCTGTGTAGAGCATACTGTGGAATTATGTTCTGACCTGAGCAGTGAAATAACTTACAGGTTGTTACGTGCTTTTTCTATGCTTCATAAATTGTACTAGAAGGAGATGGTCAACATTTGCAAGTGTGAAAGCAGTGACCTGTCTTTTTTTTCAAGATGGATATGAAATACCTTCAAGTGTATATTAATACTCTAATTTATGAGCTTTGTGTATACATGGTCTCTGTTCATTAGGGTTTCTCCATCTCTTTCAGTTTAAAGCATCTAAATCTTTAGCAACTTCCTGTTTTGTGACCATTTCTAGAACCCCAAATCACAAATATTATTTGGGAAAGCTTCAGACACATAGTAACACTCAAACTGAGCTTTGGGATACAATACAAAAAATGGGACATCTTATGCCAGTTATTATCATCTTGAGTTCCAGTCTTAACTTTTAGCAACTTTTGAATAACTTCATAGTTGTATGAAACAGGGAAGTGATAGTATGTTTTGCTGTCTGAATGTGATTTGTACACAGTCCTAATTAAAGCAAAAATCAATGTTTCATAACACAACCATGGTGTTTGAATTAAGAAAAGTAAAAGGAAATGTAGAGAGCTTAAAAGCTTTTTCAGAAATCTAAAGTAGTGGAGAAGAAGCTTTCACTGATTTTGGAGCTTATAGGGCTTTACAAAAAAAAAAAAAATAGAAAGGTAGCAGAAAAAAAAATCTATAATGCTTTGTCTGTGAATGCATACAGAAGGAAGACGTGCCTGTTGAAGAAAAAGAGAGAGACTTGCTTCTGGGTTTTTTGTTTGTTTGTTTTAAATAAAAACATAAGCTTTCTGAAATTAGACTGTTTTTATTAAAAAGCTTCAAGCACCTGAAAAGATAGTCTTCCAAACTTCAAACTTTATAATCCAATTGGAACCTTTATAAATAATTAGGTCTATTTGGACTAGCTTTCCTAATACTCACCACGTTGTTTAGAGGCAAAGTTACAGAAAGATTGAACCTGGATTTCTAACTGTTCTTGTTTTGCTCTCAGCAAAGTCTCTACCTTGAATAATTAACTTTCTGAATTGGTGGTTACGCCTATTGTGTTAACAGACTCTGACTTGATTCTCACAATATGGCTAAGGTTTTTTTTAACTTTTTACAAGAAATAATAATATTACTTTAACCTTAAAAAATGAACCTGTTACCTAATCACAGAATTACCATAGAATCATAGAATATCTGAAGTTGGAAGAGACCCATGGGGATCATCCAATCCCCAATGCCCTGCTTCATGCAGGACTATCTGAAACTAAACCGTATGACTAAGAGTGTCACCCAGATGCTTCCTGAACTCTGACAGGCTTGGAGTCATGACCACTTCTCTGGGGAGCCTCTTTCAGTGGATGACCACTCTCTCAGTGAAGAACTTTTTCCTAATGTCCAGTCTGAACTTCCCTTGATGCAGCTTCATTCCTGTTGGGATCATCTAGTCTAATCACACTGCTGCTAAAACATAGCTTCTTAGAGCAGAGTGCTCAGTACTGTGTCCTGCCAGAGGCTGGAGCATCTCTGGGCAACATCCTCCAGTGTTTGCCCACCCTTACAGTATAATTATTTTTTGTGTTCAGATTGAATTTTGTGTTTTTAATTTTTGCCCATTGCCTCTTGTTACGTCACTGAAAAGTGAACTTGGTATCTTGGTTTTCTTCATTCTTTTCCATCAGATAGATGCACATGTTGACAAGATTTCCCTCAGGCCTTTTTTTCTCCAGACTGAACAATCTCAACTCTTTCAACCTCTTCATATATGAAAGATGCAACAGTCCCTTCATTGTATTGGTGATTCTTTGCTGGACTGTCTCCAGTAGTTCCACATCTTTCTTGTACTGAGGAGTCCAGCTCAGGACACAAGATTCGAGGTGTGGCCTCGCCAGTGTTGAATAGAAGGGAAGAATCACTTCTATTAACATGCTGGCAGTGCTTTGCCTAATATAGCCAAGGAGGTCATTAGCCTTTTTTTATGTGAGGTCATATTGTTGACTCCTGAGCAGTTTTTTGTATATTAGGACATCAAGGTCTTTCCCAGCAAAGCTGCTTTCCAGCTGGTCATCCCACAGTGTGGTAGGGGACACTGATACCTGAGATTACTCCTCCCAAGGTGCAAGACCTGGATTTCCCTTTGTTGAACTTCACGAGGTTCCTCTCTGCCCAGTTCTCCAGCCTGTTGAGGTCTGTCTAATGTATCAGCCACTCCTCCCAGTTTAGTATCATCTGCAAAGTTCTTGAGGATGCACTCAAGCCCATTATCCAGGTAACTGATAAAAATTAATGCTTTCTTGGCTGTTCAGCCAGTTTTCAGTCCACAGTACTGTCAACTTATCTAACCTGTACTTTGTCAGCTTGTCGGTGATGTTGTGGGACTCACTATCAAAAAAAAAAAATCACTAAAACTGAGGTAAGCAACATCCATTTCTATCCTTTCATCCACTAGTATCCTCACTGTAGAGACTATCATGTTTGTTAAGCACGATTTCCCCTTCATAAGTCCATGCTGACTAATCCAAATCACATTGTTCTCATTAATGTGTTTGGACATGCTTTCCAGGAGGATTTTCTCTATCACCTTCCCAGGCAGGTTGACCAGCCTGTAGTTCCCAAAATCTTCATTCTTGCTCTTCTTGAAGGTGGAATTGATACTTGTGCTCTTCCAGTCTTTGGGAACCTCTCCCAGTCATCATGACTCTTCAAAGATAATTGAGAATGACTTTCAAGTGACATCAGTGAGATTTCTCAACATTTGTGGGTCCTATTTGTCAAGCCCCATAGACTTATGTACAACTAGTTTCTTTAAGTGCTCCTTAACCTGATCCTTCACTGAGGGTAATCTTCCTTGCTTCAGACCTTCCATGTGGTTTCAGGGGACTGGGATTCTTGAGGATCAGTTTTAGCCCCAGAGACTGATGGAAATGAAGGCATTGCCCACTTTTGTGTGGTCTGTCACCTGATCCCCTGCTCTATTCAATAGTGTGTCCATGTTTTCCCTGGTTTCCCTTTGCTGTGTATGTACTTGTAGAATTCTTTCCTGTTGCCCCTTGCAAGATTCAACTCAAGGTTTGCCTTGGTGTTTCTTTATCCCTGCACAATGGGACAGTAGCTCTGCACTTTTCTTGGTTAACCTGCCCCTGCTTCCATCTCTTCTATATTTTGTTTGTACATTTGAATTCAGTCAGAGGCTCTTTGCTCATCCATCCAGGCTTCATAAATCTAAAGGGATGATTTTTAGTGCTTTATAGTGCTTAAAATTTGCAAGAGAGCAGTTTCTTATTTTCTTAGGTGGTATACAACTGTTAAATTTGTTCTCATTCATTCTTAACACCATGCTAGAAATGACTACTTTTAGTTTCAGAGAAAACACTTGTACAAGTAAAACTTTAAAAATTCAAGAAAATGGCCCATAATACTTTAGTTTAAAGGGAGAGAAAGGAATAAAACCAAATGCATTAGGAGTTGTATGTAAATATGTACATTTGAAAATCTATTTTTTTTCCATCCCATGGGGAAAAAAAATTCTCCAAATAACATGGTAAAGAAGTGCTAAATAGTTAAATGTACATATGAGAGTTTCAGCTGAACTATGGAGTCTGCCTACTGAGTCTTCTAGATATGATTTGTCACTGACATTGTTTCACTGAAGCTTATTACTTGGGTTTATCTCTAAATTTTTGCTGTATTCATTAAGTGATGTCTCTGCACTTATACTTTGTAATTCTAGAGCATTCTTTCTATAGTTTCTAGACTAAGTTATTGCACTGCAGCTATGATTTCCATCTCAGCATTGTGGTTTGTTTTTTCTTTTTTTTTTTTTTTTTTTTTTTTTTTTTTTTTTTTTTTTTTTTGTTTGTTTGTTTGTTTGTTTGTTTTTGTTTTTGTTTTTTTTTTTCTTTTCTGGCAAGAAGTCTTGTATTTGCATGCCAGAAGGAGGTATAAATATAAATACAAATACAAAGTCTTGTATTTGCATACTGCAAAAGGCCCAAAGGCCTTAGGTGCATGAGGGCTAATCTTACCTCTGATACAGAAGCACTTCATGGCTCACTCTGTGATCTTGGGACCACAGTTGCTCAGGGCAGAGGTCTGACCAGTGTGTGCCCTGGTCATTTCCAGGCCCATGCTGTTAGGTTTCTGGTGGCATGAACCTCGGGCATTGTATCATGTGAGAGGCAGTATTTCCATTTTCAGAATTCAATGGCAGGCTCCTGAATCACAGATGTACTGTTCTGTCCCAGATGAAGCATGTAAGTTGCTTGTGAAGTGGGTAGGGAAGGGAGATTTGGAGTCTTTTAACAGTCGTGATGCTGCACAGGAAGCCTTCTGACCTAGCCAGTGACTGGGATGCTGAAGGAATGAATTTCTAATATGCCTGAACTTGTGTGTGTCAGGTGCTGATTCACTGACCCAAAACATCACCTTAAGATAAGGTACTTTCTAAAGAAGAAGCATTTTCTTCCTTTTTAATATGCAGATAAGGAATGAGGAGGCTAAATACTTCCTTGAGCAAGGTAAGGGCTGACCTGAATGCATGTTTCCTTCTCTTGAGTGTCTGTGTTTACAGTGTAGTACAGCTTTAATAGCTGCAGTGGAGCATATTTCCTTTCTGTCTGATTCTACTCCTTCACATCCTTCCACAACTTTACAGTCACCTGTAATAACTTAGAGCCAATCTGTTATGGCACTGTCTTGGAAATGCAAATACAAATCATTTGGTTTGGCAGTGGGCTCATTCAGAATGTATCCTGGGTGAGTTTAATTGTTAGACGGATTGAGCTCTTTGGCTTTACCAAGATGGCACCAGTCCTAAGTAAGTCCTAAGTTTCACTTAAACTTGAGGTACCAAGGATGTTTCATTTCAATAGAAAAGGCTAATTTTTGAGGTATGCATTACATGTGTAATTGTTTTGAGGATCGCTGTTATGAAATTAATCACAGAAAAATGTTTAGTCTCTTCTTGCATTGCTCAAGACCTTATGTGATCAAACACTCTGGATTTCCATGTGAACTGTTACATAAAGAAAATCACAAATACCTGTATGCTAGAAAATCTCAGTGTGAAAAGGCGACAGCAAAACTGATTCTTAATGAAAAGTTATTGCTGTAGAGTACCACCTTTTTCACTCTCTTCTAGAAATCTTTTACTATTAAGACCTAATCAAATATTTTAATCTACATTTGTATTGTGTGGCCAAAATGGATTTGCCCTATAAATTATATACTTTCTTTTATGGCTTTATTCTTTAATACAAACTTGAACAGCATAAAATGGAAAACAGGGTATGGAATACAGAATGACCTATTTATTCCCTGTTTCCCAAGTGGGACAATGGTCTCAAGCTAAAGCTATGGTTGATGTTGATCTCCCTGTAAAGAAAATAAGTAATGCAAAAGTCCTAGAAGAAAATTGATCACTGGGGCATTTAAAAAGTGTATCTGAAGTGGTTTGGGGATTCCTACTTGGAAAACATTAATTCTGAATATTTAGTTATGAGGAAAATATTAACAGAGATGCTGGATTTTCTTAATTAATCTCTCTGAATATTGCATCTGAAGATGTCACAAAATGCTGAGTTTGAACTAGAAAATGTTTATAGATTTTTATCAAATCATTGATATCTGTACACTATGTGGGGTTTCCTGGAAAAAGAGCCACCAGGAGTCAAGGTAGCAAATATGAACTCAGGAGACCTTAGCTGTTTGGGAGCACTTGCTCCAGAGATAATGACATTTTTATCTTTATAAACAAGCAATGGAGATTAGAACAAAGCTTCTACCTTTTAATAGTTGTTAAATTTAAGTTTGAACTGCTATTAAGCCCAGTGACTGCATCCTCTCTGTTACATCAGCCTAGTACCGCTTAAATAGAGTCCTCCAGAGCCTGTCATGGCAATTCGGTTGTTACTATGAATATTTTTCCCCTCTGAATTAAACTGTGGAACATATTTTGCCAGTTACCAATTTTTCTGTAACAGCCATGGCTAATATAACTAGTATTTCAATTTAAAAATAGTTTTTTTTTCCTGAAACTCCATGTGCACATAACACATGAAATGCATGGATGTCTAATGCCTGGGACCAGTTCAATGCAGAAGGGAGTAATTCTGATCAAAGCTGGTGCACTTGCTGTTATTTCAAAGTATTTACTGTCTGATGAGTAAAAGAAGCTTTGTCTAGGTGGTTTCAAGGATGGTATAAGATTTTATATATAACTCTTTCTCTAGAAGAATTTAACATTTGCCTAGCTATGCATGGTGTTATCAGTAGGTTTAGCTGGGGGAATACATTAGAGCCAGAGCTGGATTAACAGTAAGTACTATTGGAAAAGATTGGCATTCCTCTTTGCTCTGTATTACTTTTATAAATTCTGTCACGAGTATGAAGACCATATTACTCATAGTTTTGGAAGACTAAATTAAATGAATGCCTACACTTTGTATTTTGCCAGGCTTGGCCATATAAACTTCCTTTAAAATGCTTTTAAGTCCAACTTAGCATTTGATGCTATGTGATTAACACTACAAAGTATAGCCAGACCCCAACAAATTGTCATGAGCAATATTTCCTGGTACAGACCTGAAACAGGATCAACATTTTCAGAAAAGAAACAGTGCTTAGTTGGAATGGTATAGCTTTAACTTGGTATCAGTCATTATTTAGGTGAAAGAAAGGGCTATGCTGAAACATTCTTTTTCAGCTGCCCTATTTCCTCTGTCAGTAGGTACCATCATTCAGCTTGTAAGCAGTTTGCAAGACCATGTATATGGAACACTTGCATGGGCAGACCATATAACATGGAGATTGGACTTCAGGCTCGTTCAGGAGAGGCAGCTTTTTGGGAACTTTTTTTGTATGGGCTTCCAGTTACTGTAAAAAGTGACATGATGCAGGCCAACTGATGTAACAGTATGGGTGACTGGCAGCTTAGGCTTCAAGTAGCTACAATGAAGAATTGTGTGTAAGAATCCATTCCATTTAACATCTGATAGTCTGACATGATTGCATCCAATTGTGCACATATTTTTTGGGAAAATCAGTGAAGAGGGTAGTTAATACATTTGAGTATATAGGTTGCTATAATAGTATTACCTCCAGGCTGGTGATGCAGTGTTCAGAGTAGAACAACTGAACCAAACTTCTGCTGAAGACTTGGAATTTCTCATGTGTCAAGTGTCCCTGAAGTTCCGTTCCAGGTGGCACTTCATTAGCTGCTCTTCATTTTCTGTCCACCATACACTTAAGCCAGCTGTTTCTGTTTGCTGTCATAATTTACATCACATTTTCTCTCTATACAGTTTTTTATATGAGCCCAGTGGAAGTCAAATGTCAGCTTCGTTCTTATTTCCAACCTTTTTCTGTTAGACCATCTGAAAAACAAATTTTACAACTAAATGAGCTTTTTTTGAGTCTGTGCCACTATAATTAAGCATCTTTCTTCAAAGTACCTTTGTAATGTTTTTCCTCACAAGTGTTTCCATTAGTTTTCTAGTCTCAGAGGCTAAACTAACTTTAAAGTCACCATTTTTTATAACGTTAACGTTCTTTAAAATTGAGTGCTGCCATTTATTTTTCTATAGAAATGTAGTTTTAGCTTCTGTAAATTAGTCAAATTGTATGTAAAAGCTTGCCTCTTTCATTTTCTCCATAATTTATTTTGTATATGATGCATTTCTTTTCCTTCTTTTAACCTCTTCCTCTGCAGTAATATATAATGTCATCACTATGAATATTGTTCTCAAATTAAAAAAGAGTCATTCTTAGTATTAATTTAAGTATTCTTAATATTGTCTTATTAAGAAAAGGGTACACTTCCTGAAAGATCTATTTCTGATCATCACCATGTATTTAGTTTTAGAAAATGTTTTTGGTACTGGGATGAATTACAATCTCTTGAAGATGCTTATGACTATGCTGCAAGGGAATTAGAGCAGGCAAAACATGAGAAATTTTTAACTGTAGAAAAGTAACTTCTCATCTACAAGGATAGTTTTGTTACCGTAAGTGAGCAGACCCAGAAATACTGAATTCCTTCTCATGAATTAGGATTTTCTACTTGATTATAAAATGCTGGATTTACTGACTTTCAAGTGTCTTTCCATGTTTCATATTGTTAGACATTCTTAAATTATGTTTGTTGGTATTGAGTATATTGAACTATTCTATATTATACCATACACTTGCTTTATTATCTAATTATTCTACATGTTAGCATTGTACATAAAGTTTAGATCTCTCTCCAACAAATTTGAAGAGTTGTAATTAAGAGATTTATATCGAGTATGTTTTTAATTCCTTTTTTAAATATGTAATGGCAAGCTTTCATTGTGGTTAATAATCATCAATGTAATCATCATAGTAACAAGTTTTGATTATCTAGATATTTACATGTGGTTATATGACTGAAATGTTCTGATATTTGTAATTTTCCCTCTCATAGTTCACTTTATTTTGGGGTTCCTGGTTCCATCCTTCTCCATGGGTTTAAATTCTGTTCATCTAGTTTGGCTCTGAAGTGAGCCTGGCTATTCTCTAAATCAGTTATGGTTCTGACAGTTCAAGATACTGAGATGCACTCACACCTTAGACTTTATCTTAAGTATAAATTTAAGGTTTCTGCTACAGTATGTTCATTTTCTTTAATATGATTCTGTTGGATTGAATCAGAGTTTGGATTTTCCTCCTGAATTTGTGAAAGGGTGATTTGTTTTTTGTTTTTGTTTTTGTTTTTTTTTTTCTTTTTTTCCTTACAGTAAACAAACAAAAGTGAATGTAACACAGGATATTTAAAATACTTTTTAAGACAGCCTAATTTATTTATTTATTTATTTATTTATTTTAGGTTTCCCAGGCTGGAGATTTGCTTATTGAAGTTTATGTGGAAAGAAAGGAACCGGACTGTAGTATTATAATCAGGGTTAGTGTATAAAAGTGAAACAGTATTTTTACTAAGCACTTCCCCATGAAATACACCAAATTTATTTTCAGACATGTTTTTATATAATTACACACTGATAGATATAAAATAATAATTCCATTATGATTTTAAATAACTTTTAAAATTTGCTGTGTTGCCTGAATTTTATAAAGACTGGATGTTATTCATTTTTAAGGAGAAAGTTATGATACAATTTTAAAGGGGAGACATCCTCCTTCTGTTTTACTACAGTGCACAGTGATCATAATTCTCACAGTTCTATGGGTGCAGCACACAAGAAAATTAACAAGTATACAGTGAGTGCTTGTATTATTTAGTGGTTCAATGCCATTTAAATGACCCTCCTTACGATATTTCTTTTTGCCAGTGACTTTCTACTTTCCTAGAGGACTAAGAAACCAAAGCTTATTACTTACTATAACTGAGATTTTTCAGCCGTGTTATCTGATAATGTATTTTAAACACATGCTTGTCTCCATGTAGTAGTGCACTATTGTTTTGATGCTGAGGAGAAAAAGTTAATTTCTGTAATGGCAAAGAACAGATACTGTTAAGAAGAAAGTAGAAAATTAAGGGCAATGTCTTTTTAAAAATTCTTTTAGGTAATGTTATGCCTTTCTGGTTCCTTTTTGTTCTGTTCAACATATGACTCTCAAACGTGTTTGTGTGTGTGTGTAGTATACATAGATACACACATACAGGCACATTAAACATGTTTTTTTTTAATTGGAATAAAAATGTGAATATGCATCACTAAGATGAAAAATGGTAATTCTGTAATATTTACCTTCTCATATTCAAGAAAACATATCAAGGCTCTTTTTTTTTTCCTCTAATTTTTCAAGGTTCAAGAAAACAAATTTCATGTTACTGAGTTATCAGTCAGCTAAAAATTATAACTCTAATTTTGTGGAACAAAATAAGGAAAGCATGCTGGAGTCTGACAAATAATTTATAGGTTACCAACTCAGTATATCTGCTTTGCTTTTTTTAAAAAGGTCAATTGCAGGGAGGAAGATTTTGAGAGAAAAAACCAAAACACAGAAATTGGTGATTGTAATATACTGTAAAATGACTCAATTTGTATTACAGGTATCACCTTTGATGGAAGCAGAGGAATTAACTAACGATGTTTTAGGAATCAAAAACATTATTCCCAACAAAGATGATATCTGGGCTGCTTTTGAAGTACTTGAAAATGGAGAACTAGGTTAGTGACACTTAAATTTACTCATGTTCATCCCATTTTATCATTTTTATTTTTCAAAACCTAATGGAATCAAAAGCTAAGTTAAAGAGTTACTAAAAGGCTTATAGAAACAAAACAAAAAGGAGGTTTCACAGTATTATTTTGTATTTAGTTACTGGGGCATCTGCATGATTTCTTTCTACACTTCACCAGAAATAATGTGATGAATTGTTTTAAAATGCTTAGAAATTGAGGGCTGAAAATAAATGTTCTTTATATTACTCTGCGTCGTAGTTCATTAGTCATCAGCTATAGAAAAGTAGATCTTACCAGTAAGTCTAAAAGAAGAAACTTGTTTTCATTTGAATGTCAGCAGCTGATTTTATAAGGAATAATGTTTTTTTGAAAATGAAATGAGAAAATACAGTTAATACTTAGGGGAAAGAATCTTTTTCATTATTTAGTCAATTATCTTATGTGTGTAGATGAAAAAGGAGGCATAAGGTGTTTAAGGCTATTTATGGCAAGTAGCATTTTGGTGTATCTCACAGAATCTTGAAACATTTGTTTTAAGTACTGTTCTACCGCCAACAAAAGCAAGTGTCACATGGTCTCAATATTAATGAGCTGTAGAGAGGTTTTAACATTGAGTGTGCTTTATGTGTGCTGGAGCTTACACCTTATTACTAAAGATACTTAAAATAACATAAAATAATAGAGCTTTTTTAATGAAAACACCTTATTTTTGATGAATACTCACTAATGTCATCTGATTTTTGAAGAATACATGGAGGACAAGAATATACTTTTAGTAAAAATTCTATTTGTGCTTCATAGAAGGTTGCTGCTCTTACTACCTTCATGTTACAGAAATGGACTCAGGACTAGTGTATTTCTGTTGTGAAGATACCTGTTTTCAAGTTTAAAAAAAAAAAATAGAGAAAACTAAGATTGGTAAATGTTCAAAGAGTGCTTGAGTAGTGTCATCGTACTTGATTTTCATATGTTCTAACAGTAATCTCTTCAGATATACTAACAATCCTGATATACTCAGTCTTGACCTTGCAGTATCAATAGTGGGAATGGAAGTATATTCTCCCTATGGACTTAAAATAAGTGATCCTGATCCCTCTTTGCATCTTGCAGTATTGTGGTGATGCTGTATAGAGTTGTAAGATAGAGTTCACTTCAGGATTCATAAATGCAGGTGTCAAGTGACAAAGAATGCTAGCATCTATTACCTCTAGAAGAGTTGTGATAAATCCTACAAGTACTCTAGAGATCCTATTTCTTTTGACTGAGTAGTGAAAAATTTGAAAAGGGATTTTTATTTTCTTAAACTTGATGTATAACACTTATAGGTGCATGAAAATTCAACTAGATGTGGTGGAGAATATAAAAATAAATACAAAAGATGGAACCCACAGCAGCTTCCTCAGGTATCTGGGTGCAGCAGCTATTTTTTTTTAGTGTGGGTTAGAAATGTCTGAACTAATGACTATGGATGTACTGGCAAAATTAAGCTTAGCATGACATGCTACAGGCCCTATATGACAATAAATATTGGCAAGGGATTAGGGTGTATCCTATTGAAACGAGTTTACAATGCAAAGTAGAAATGACATACCAGTGTTTTAAAACAAAAGCAAACAAGCAAAAACCAAATAAAATTAAATCGAGTCCTAATTCGGCACCTAGATCAAATCAGTAGAGACTGTGTTGATGAAGTGTCAGCTTTATGGACTCCTGTCTGGAAGAATCTGTGCATTGGAACAGCCAAATGGAATTAATCATGTTGCAGAATAAAAATAATACATGTAGTAACAGGCACTTACTCTGGAAGGCTCCTGTGGTGCTATGGCTGAGTCTAGCAGATTTTCAAACAGCTGAAACACGGAGAGTATAACAGAGAAAAATGGTCTATGCAGTCTTTGGTCCAAACATAACACCAAAGAAATAAAACACTGAGTCTTTGATGCTGTGGGTAGATTTTACTGGCATCATTTGACAAACACCATTGAATGTTATACAATGGAAGACATTTACAAGTAACTCCTGTAATCATGTCATGACAGGAACAAAGTTTGCTTATTTGTTTCAAATGTACATTAATGATCAGAGTGTCTTTCTGACAGAAATTTTTTTTTTGTTCTTCTGTTGCTGCCATGGTCTGGTACCTGTCCAATGGGTGGTGGGATTCAGTCTGTTACAGTCAATCCAGGTTTTATGAGAGTTACTTTACTTTTAAAGATACACTGCCCTGAAGACAAATCCTGAGGAGGAGAGAAAATCAGAATCCTATATTTTCTAAAAAGTAATTTTTCTCCTGACATTTAATGTGGACATTTAAAAAATATTTCTCAGCATATGATGACCTAAGGAAAAGGGTAATTGGATATACACGTTGACTGCTTGCTATTCAAAATACTAAAATTATAATATCAAAAATCATCTAAATTATTTGCATATAGAAAAGTTGAAATAAACAATAGTTTTATCTAACCTAATGCAGAATGTTCAATATTATATGCTTTTATAAAATAAGGTGCATATATATATATACATTTTCAATAATTTGTTCTTGATGGATAGTTTGTAGATGAGGTGTGTTGCCAGTAAAATAGCTAATGCATTTCAGCATGATGATTTATGTACTGTGTAATCCATGATGACAGATGGTCTTAAATGTAACTATAAATAAAACAGTAGGTGTTTACTCTGGGAGTACTGGTGTTCTAGGAAGATGTGGTGATTTGCCAGTTTCCTACCTTTGACTTGTAAAGTTCTTCTCCTTAAAATGGATTGGGTTTTTTATTGTACAGAAGCAACAAGCTGGTTTAACTTTACCGCATCAGAGTCCACAATTTCCCAAAAGTTTGTGGTATTACAAGTCTACAGGTAAAGTAGATTTTGTTTTTTCATCCCAAAACAGCAGTAGTTTTTTTCTGTCACTTAAGGGTGTTATTGGTGGCTGCTGTTTTCTGAAGCTCTGGTGTTCAGGAAAATATGTTCTGCTAGAGTGTAATGCTGGACAGTCCCAAAGCAGCTGTTGACATTTCATATTCATCTACCCTAGCAGAAATGAAAAATGAGATTATGGCAGCATACTTTTCCCTTCAGCACACAAGAGACATGAGGCTAGACCACCTGACCCAGTATGACAAGTGTCACAGAGATGTGACTTTCCAGGAGCTAGACTCAGCTTTTCTCAAGACCTAACCCACATAAGTTGGTATGCAAATGGAAACTTGGTTCTCTTTGAAGCTAAAATGACACTTGGATCCAGTGCTCTAAGTTGTAGCCTGCAGAGCCATCATTAAGGTTTTTGTGCTTTCATGAATTATAGTAGGTGCTTAATGCTGAGAAGGTAAAAGCTTTCAGGTGTGCTTGCAGGAAGGGTTAATAGAGAGGGGAACTGCACAGTCTCCCTCCATCTACATTGGTGTTGCCTTGTGTGATGCCTCTTTCTGTGTTGCAGTACATTTCACACTCAGATTTTTGCTGGATCTGGTAATGCAGATGTAGGGACTATTTGCAAGATCTTCCTACCTTTATGTGTCATATGAACTGGGATTTGTGTGGAGTACTGGCTGGACTTTCCTATCCCTGCAGTTTTCAGTCCTATGAAAGGGTCTTAGAGTGTTTTGGATGGATGATACCTATCAACAAACGTATGTTTGAGCAACTGAAGTGTTTAAAGTGCACACATACAGCCTTGTCATGCCTTCATCTATTGCTATTGTTTTAGAATCATTAAGGTTGGAAAAGACAGCTAAGATCATCAAGTCCAACCATCACCAAATACTCCCATGAGCATTAAACCACGTCCCCAAGTGCCTCATCTGCACAGGTGGCGACTCCACAACCTCCCTGGGCAGCCTGTTCCAATGCCTCACTGCTCTTTCAGTACAGAAATTCCTCCTAATATCCAATCTAAACCTCCCTGGCACAATTTTAATCTTGATGTGCTCTTTGTATGAGATTTGAATAAAAAAGTACAGGTCTGGAAATTTCTTGACTGCAGCAATGGGGAGAAGACCCATGTATGACCACATGTTTTTCCCATCTACTTAAAGGAGTGTACTGGAACCAAGGGTCTGTCTGTGTGCTTAAATCATTAACAGACAATATAATCTATACTAGGTCTGGGTGGGTTGGTTGTTTGTTTTCCCCACTCTAACTGCCTCAAATTCTTTGATTTTTTGATTGCACAGAGTTGGTGGCTATGATGACATATTTTAATATTTAGCCTAGACCAATTAGACCCAGTATAGCTACAGGTTTCAGTTCTGTTTGTTCATTCTTAGGTATCTCTTGAGAGAATTCTTAATTTTTATATTTAGTTTTAAAGCAATGTTTTAATGTCTTTACATAAGAAAATATTCATAACTAAATAAAAAAAAAAAAAGTCACCGGATATTTGACTGCTGCTTGTTTAATTTGATGTTCATTACCTGTGCAGACCTTGCCAGCAAAGGTGTTGCTGTAGAAGGTCAATGAGGTGCCTAATTATCTTTTGAAAGCAGTGTTTTTCTTCCATAGCTCAAAGTGAATGAGACAGTGTTGTGTATAGGCATGTGTAACTTCTAAAGGCCCCCAGTCCTGGTTTGTGTTTGGTGGTGTTGTTTTTTTTTTTCTTTTATTTCAATCTTGTGTTTTTTTATTTTTCTCCATTGTTTTTCAGAACGTCCTCTGCATTATACAGAGAATGTACTAGAACAAGTTCTTCAGTGGAGTTCATTACCAGATCCTGGCACTGCATATCTGATAATAAAGAGATTTGTAACAGCAGACATGATAAAAATCTACAGTGGTATGTATCTTTTTAAAACTTAGATACTTTGTGCGGGGACAAGAGGATGGCAAGTTTTTTATAGCTGTTTCATAGGGGCAAAGTGTCCCAGAACATCTGAATTGCTGCTACTTTATAAAAGTTACTGATCCACTGAGGGTTGTGCTGACTTTCTTTGAAAACCTGGAAATTACAGTTCTTGTTTCTACAAACTGTAAGCTCTCCCATTTGAACAGAAGTATGCAGACACTCAGCATTCTGCCTCAGTTTGTAAACTTCTGCTGTGCAGCTTGAGACTGCCCTTTTATCTGTGGTGCAGGTCTGCATAGTTCATCCACATATATACTACACTATACTCTCTGTGGACTATATATATATGTATACCCTGTGTATATATAATGATTACATTATATATAAAATGTGCACTGTATTTAATTATATAAGTACATAATATATGAATAACAATTTCTGTTATATAATCCGAAGCCTTCAAACTACAAAGCTAATTTGAATGACATACTCAAGGAGCTGAATGAGTTACAGAGGATGTAGCCTTTAAAAAAAATGAGGAATTTAGATCTGACAACTGAAAGGAAATATAGCTTAAATATATAGTGGAAAAATAGAATTTACATCCTGCCCCAGCCCTGTTTTGTGTTGGGCTTTTTGTTTGATTTTGTTTGGGTTTCTTTTTAACATAATATGTGGATTTAAGTCTCCCATGTAATAAGATATAGTATTCTGTTTGAGGGAAACAGGAGTTTAGAAGTTAAACATACCCTAAAATTACTATCCTGTTTTCAAGCAGTTGAAATCCTGTATGCTTGATTTCAAGAAGTAAAAGTTATGCTATTATGCTTAATCTTCAGATAGTAATAGCCTTCTCTCATCATCATTTATTCCTATAAAAGCATATTCTACAAATACGAAACAACCTTAACAAGTGTGCTATTTGTGACTTTTGAGTTTCACTATCTCTAAATGTGTGATAGCAGAGAGAGAATGGAGAGAAATGGCCTATTTCATTAAAAGCTTGATATATCACTTCACTCAGTGTATGTTGAGGTGTAATCAGAAAAGAGAATGGGTCATAAGGACTGTGAGAACCACTGCCCTGGGGAACACATAAGGATTAGGCTAGTGTCAATTTACAAAACACAGTACTATTTAAATGGGAAATCTTGACATTTGCCCTCTTCTAATTTTTACATCCATTTGTTTTCTCAAACCATCGCAGTAATTGTTTGTATCAATTCTATTCAGTTTGACCTTAGTCTAGACACATTGGCTTTTGACTGAATGTTTATATTTACTAGCTTTCTTTTTTTTTGTGTGTGTTAAAATTATTAAAACCTTATTTAATAATTTATATTAGCTTTCATAGCAATTTGAAGGGAAAATATCTCTACCATACGGCATACTTACAGTGTTGGTCTCTTCAAACTCTACATGGCAAAGTAATCTTGTACATTGCAAAATCTTTTCCTAAGAATTGGAGTTGTCATTTTAAGGAATTTTGACATGGTAAACATTAGTTACTTTCTAAACCATTACTTTTTCTTATTGAAACTTGTTATGATAATGTTTAAAATAAATACAGTTCTGCAGTAATTTCATTCTGTTGGAGTTTTTGAGTCTGCTTTTAGCTTGTACATTTGTTATGAAACATTACCAATACTGAGGAGCATATTCACTAACTTTAGCAAAACAATGTATTAAGTTTAGGCAGAGACGCACAGAAAGTCCACACAATTCATCTACATTTTTTAGGTGCAGGAACCTACTTGTCTGTTGTTTCTATTTCTATTCTTGCATCTGTAAACACCATTTGAACAAGTAAGCAATTATTTCAGGCCAAAAACATATGGATTTTTTTAGATAAACATAGTACTTCCATCACAGTCTCAGAGTGAGAAAAGACACAGGAGGAGGTCACTGGGGAAGAGATGCTTCCTGTGTCTAGATGAGGAGGCAGTTGTGGTTATGCTCAGGTTTTCCATCTCAAAGTGCACAAGAAATAACTGCTGCTTTTAGGTCTTTTAGGCTTTATGTGGATAATTGCTCCATGCTGAGTAGTAGGGCTGGGGCTAGATACCCAAACATTACCATATGAAGTATGTTTTTTAACAGTGAATTCAGTCCATACAAATGGACAACTGGGTGAGTGGGTATCCTTCTCCTTTGCAGTAAATATAATAGAGCTGTCATCATATTATAACTGAATTTCATTCATCTCCCTTGGTTCTCTGATTGATGTTAGAATCTTACAGACTTGATTACAATATTCTTGACATGGGTTGTTTGGTTATTTTTTGTTTTGTTTTGCTTTGTTTTCTGTTAATGTTACCTCAGAGCTTTGTGTCATAAGCACTTTCCTCCTTTTTCTTCCAGAGCCTTTAACGGCATTTGAAATAATGATGGTTCAATAGTCAGCCTAAAGGAACAACTCTGTTAGCCTCATTTCATCTTAGTGACTTATCGTTGTCTTCCCTGTCAGTGCAACTTGTCACGTGTTCCTTGTACATAGTGTATTCCCCATTTCCTAATTATACTCATTCTCATTTTGTCCATTTTAATCTACTTTCTCATATTGTGCAATATCAAACACTGTATTGAAGTCTAGATATATTTTCTCTGTTGTTTAGGAATCATCTTTCCTTTGCAAGGAAAAAAAGTGTTAGTTTATTTGTATTGATATGTGTCATTAAATCTGTGGTTAGTTTTACACTTTCCTCCAGATCTTTAGTTATTCTCTCTTGACAATTTCTTTCATAGCTTTTTACAGTTGTTGCAGGAGCACTTTTTCAAGTGCTATTCAGAAGGGCAAGATGTGCATTATATTTTTGTATAAGAGACACTCAGTACAGCTTAATACTATTTCATGACACTTTTTCTTCATCTTACTTGAAAATTTCTCATATTCAAGTTTTATTTGTTAGATAAATATGAGAGAATAGATTCACTATAAAGTGTGTGTTTGTAAGTCCTTGAAATTTTCCCAGTGAAGAGTTGTATAATTTGAGTGGGAAGTATTGATTTCTGAGAACAGGGGCTATTATTCAGAGATATTCTTTGAAATGCAAATGTCTAAACCATAGGTGGATCAGTCCTGAATGGATGAGCACATCTAGTTCCTAGTAGTTGCAAAGTTCTAAAAAGGTTTGCATGTTTTGTAAAGTTTGCCTCTGAAATACCATACTGATCAAGATTAATCCCAGTTATTTTAGATTTACTTTATGAAATACTAGCTTCTAAAGAATACAGAATATAATAAATTTAAAGGATTTTTTTTTTTCCCCTCAGGCTTTTTTCAGATCTTTGTAAGTATCAAGTATTTGATAGGTTTGCTATGGTGGGAATGCTGGGAAGTTTAGAATGAATTTTTGTCATAGTGAGACCTATGTGCAGAAATTAAAAATCTTCCCGTTTCGTACAGATGTGGAAGTATTCTGCCATCCTCTTCTGCTATGCTTAAAAAAAGAAAGAGCATTGTGATTATGTGAATAAGGATCCATTTTATTCTGAACATGAAATAAATATTCTTACTGGCAAAGAGGGAATATGTTAGCGCTTTTTTTAACTGTGTGTGTAATGCTTGCACTTATGCAATCCAAGTGACTTCTCCTTTTAATTGTTGAAATGTATTGGTTCTGGCATTAGATTCTCCCTTGACTTCTAATGAAAATACTGGAAAATTTTCATCTGAGATTTTTCTTTCATGACAAGCATGCTAATTAGAATGTAGTTGATTTGTAATTGATGAAATCAAAGTTATTAGCTTTTTAATTTCCATCATATTTTTAAATGTTTGTCATAACTTCAGTTTGTACTAAGATATAAAGCAAGAGGGAATTGGATTCACAATTTTTAATTGTCATCTTTTTGTAAACAGTTACTGTTAGAATAATTTAGTTCTGACTCTCTGAACAGCTGGGTTTTAGCCAGTATGAAAGATGGAATTGAGATAGGACTTTTCAAGTTGGTCCAAATGTCCAAATGTCTCTTTATATTAGGCAAGTAATAGTAGAATCTGACTTTGAGTTTTGAAATATATACTGGTTTTTTTGGTGTTTTTTTTTTTTTTTTTTTATATGCACTTTAAAGTGTATTTGCATAATTGAATGTTTGAGACTGGATATCACTCGTGTACTTCTTGTACATGCACAACCATGCATTCAATGCTTTAATACATTTGCCATTAAAATGCTGAGACTTTTCCTGAATACTCATGTGTGAAATAACTGTCTGCACGTTAAGAGAAGGAAAAAACCCACATAACTACTGCAATACATGTAGCTGCAAACAGTACTATGTGATATATACATATTAGACCCTGCATCTTATGGTCATTAGTGATGTTTCATGCAAATTCTTAACTCTCCATTGTCACTGCTTATACTTGCTTTGTGCATGTCGTGCAGTACTTGAAGATACTGATGGCTCATTTAGCAGAATGTATGAAGATGGAAAGAACACATTATTTTGATTAGTACACGTTACAGCAAATGTTGCTTCCATAGCGTAACTGTTTTTGCAGTTAGCTGTGTCTGTGTAATACCACTCTTCACAAATAAAAAAGATATGCAAACAATGAAAGTTGGTCCTTTCTGTAGTTCTGTCTTTGCTGGCCAAATAAAAACGTATTTTACATTACTTTTTATTCTAGATTTATTTAAAACATTCTTATTTTTTGAGGTTATATTGTATGCTGCTTCTTAATAATAGAGTTTTGATATCAGATGCTTAAATCCTAAGTGGATTTTTAATGAAAAAAGCCAAATGAGTAGTTGGGGAAGGATGCTAATCTCCATATATCACGTAGTTCTTTTACACAACAGTTTTCTTTACAGTCTTGAATTAATATATTATATAAACCAGTGGTATAATTCCTAGATGTTTACGAGTAGATTCCTAAACAATTTATTCAGTTCCCTAAGTAGGTGAATGGCTTACAGGAAATAGCTACATTGAGGGAAGGAGAGAAAAAAAAAAAAAAAGGTGGCAAAAGCCAAAATATGGCATAAGTAGTAGATATGTTTTGGGATAAAGAAATTATTTGCCCTCTTAGTAAGGCTCCCTCTTCAAGGTGAAGTGGTTTTGACTGGAATAGAGAAGAGTTCAACTCCTTGCCTAGCTGCTGTATCTTCACACTGGCAGTCAGCTTCCAGCACTGGTTGCCTCACGGAGAAAAGAATACTTCAGAATTCTGCTGAATTCTGTGCTCTGTCATAAAGACTTCATAAGATCCAAGTAGGATTTTTTTTTTCTTTTATTATTCCTTTCTTTGCTAAACTGCTATTTTGGTTTGAGTTTATATACATGAGTCATATCAGCGTAGTAATTAATTAACAGTCAGAAGTCATAGTGATTCTATGATTCTAAGTTTTTGTTATTTGAAAGTGGATGCACTGGGAAAAGCTGATAAAGTGGTTTGAAAAAATAATATATATTTATTGGACAGAATAGGAAAATTGGAAACTGTAGAAATGTTGGTGGGATATTGTGTGGGGATTTTTTAATATTTTTAATTAATTTTACCTATTATTTGTTTGTTTCTATATGTATTTTGACTCGAATAGGAAAGGAGGCAGACTCATGACAAAATCAGGTCTTGATGGAAAATTCTTGATTCTCTGAAGTGCAGGGATTAAAAGTATCCATGTCATACTTTTAGACTTATCTACACATTCTATTCTGAAAAGATGCTTCTAATTAACATGTGCTGATGGATTCTTTCTATGTTATCCCAGAAGTGAAACAGAAGATTTTTTCCCTCAGTAATTAAAACTGTAATGGTGTGAATATTTCATTTTCTTATTATATTGCATATTTTAAAATACAGTATGTATTTTAATGTAATAGACAATTATACAGATTTATATTATATATAATTTTATTACTCTTACATATATCATAATAACAAATCGGTGGAATTATAATTTTAGTCTTTTGATGAATACTAATACTAGAGGAATGTAAAAACTAGCAGCTTCCAGTGTTGTAAAATCTTTAACAAAATACTCTTTTATTTTCTTGATAGAGAAAAATGAGAAAGGTATTGTGAAAGCAGGCAGTCTGAAGTACAAAGAAGAACCATCAAAACTACTGTCCGGAAACAAATTTCAGGAACGTCATTTCGTGTTACGGGAAAGAAACTTTCTTCTTTATAAGGATATGAAGGTACAAAAGGCAAACTTCACCAAACTCTTAAGCACTTGCTTAGGCTTTCCTTTTCATACAAAAAAAAAAAAAAAAAAAAAAAAAAAAAAAAAAAAAGGTAAAGAAATCAACATTTCTGATATTAAATGGCAGCTTCTTGCATCTGGGGTTTAGGTGCAAGAGTTTTATCTTGCTATTTTCAGAGATGCTTTAGTAAACTGAGTTTGTGTCAGTTTCTCATTTAACTATTGTAATTATGCATTACTATAATTTTTAAAAAAACAAAAATAAACCAATATTTAGGAATGTCCACAGCTTGTGCTGTAACTAATTTTTTTTAAAACCTACTACAGAGAGCATTAGTAGAAGTAATCATAGAACAGCTTAGATTGGAAGGGGCCCTAGAGTTCACCTAATCCAGTCTCCCTGCCTTGGAGAGATGCCCCTCCAATAGATTAGGTTGCTCAAGTCCTCATCCAGCCTGGCCTTGAACACCTCCAGAGAGGGGGCATCCGCAGCTTCTCTGGGCAATCCTTTCCAGAGTCTCACCACCCTCATAATGAAGAACTGTTTCCTAAGATCCAGTCTAAACCTACCGTCCTTCAGTTTAAAACCATTTCCCCTTGTCCTATGGAACTTAAAGGAGCTGCATGAAGTTTTTTTCTTGGTATCTCACACAAAGACTTTAGAATTTAGAAGCAACAGGGTTCTTGAACCTACAAGTGTCATGACAGAAGCTATTATAGGAAACAGGAAACGCTACCAAAATCTTCCCCTGTTTCCCAACAAAGGTTTTCAGGTGTATTCTCTGTCCTCCAAAAACTAGTATTAATAATTAGATATACCTCAGAATTCTGCAAATTTAGGCATACTTAATAGCATGGTGGGTTCAGTTTTAAATATTTAATGAGATTCTTCTTAAAAGAGAGGTTTTGGGTTTGCATAGCTTGCATTAATATATAAAACTAAATAATATGCATCGTCAACTGTGTTTTCATTTTAGTTTTGATAATTTCTGGTTTTAAAAAAATCTCTTAAACTTTTTAAATGCTTTTATTTTTACTAACTTCTGGTTTTGCCCATCCAGAAAATACAGATCTCTGCTTGCTCACCTTCATAAATTATTTTTTTTTTGTAAAGACAGATCCATTGCTCAAGCAACGTAATCCATAAGAAATATTGTGTCTTCTTGTGATACTATGGATATAATCTTAATTAGAATGACCCCAGAATGTCGAGAATAATATCTCATATTTTAGTGCTAAAACCCAAATTGGCACATATGTGAGCATAATTTAATATGCCCATAAAACCTTGATTAGTATCTTGGAAAGAGTTTAGGATAGGATAGTTGTACTACTTCATAATCTGCTTTTTTAAACCAGTCTGATTTATAAAACATTAAATTCCCCAACTCAGGTGGAGTGTTGGACAGTGTTACTTCCAAATGGCTTTACAATTGTTTATTAAAAAAGCAAATGGAAATACCATTCTGACAATTAGTGTATATTGGCTTGTTTTATTTTCTTCTGAGAGATGTTCATCTACCACTAATAATCTTGGTTTAATTTTAGTAATAGTTAGAAATCAATAGTAGGAAAGCTTGACATTGCAGATGGAAAATTGTATTTAATAAGGCTATGTTTACTAATTAATTTATAAATTCTCATTAACAGTATATTAAGTTTGTGTATGCAGGTGGATATACATTTTAAGTATTTCTTCTGTTCAAGAGCAATTATCAAAAAAGTTAAAAGTTTCTGTGACACTATGTGTTAAACCACAGTACTGTCCTAATGGACTGAAATAACATACCATCTTAATGTACTGTTATTAAGACATAATCTCACACATAGACGAATGGCTTCCTTAAGGTAAATTTCTGGGAGAAGTATACTGTTTAACAAAATACTGTGTTTTGTAGGTGTATGTTTTCATCCTGGCTGTACCCTTGCTTTGAGTGGGAGGTTACATGAGAATTCTAGCCATAAAAATGTTGTGTGTTTTTTTGTTTTGCCTCTTGAATGTGTCTGCCATTTCATATTTTGTTTTTCCCCACATGGGAGTGTTAGATATTGAAAGCTATAGAGAGAGAAATTGAGAATCCAGGACAATATGGAGTGGCTTTATATACTGGGACTATAGAATTTGTTAAGTTTTGGGGATTTTTTTTCTAAATAAAAGCCTAAAGCACTTGACGTAAAAGTACTAAAAGGGCATTTAGGGTGTTGTATTAAATGTTAGTTTTCTTCTGAAGTATAGTAGTGTACATGAGAATTTAGTTTTTTCCTTTCAGCATTTCATCCTCCAGGCATGTTCAATTCTCATACTTAGTATGGATATATGCCTGTTGTAGGTTGGCTAAAGGTGATTTGTTCAAGAAGTAGCAAGGAAGGAAGGAAGTGACAGGAGGTTTCTAGTCCAACTTCCTGTTGACAGCAGGACTAGAAAAGAAGATCAGAACATGTTGCTCAGGGCTTGATGCAGTTAAGTCTTGAAAACCTTCACAGATGGAGGTCGCACAACCTCTCTGTGCAGCCTGTTGCAATACCTGACTGTACTCATGGGAAAAAAATTTGCCCTTACTTCTGGTCACCTTTGCATGATGTGAAGAGCATCTCTCAGACTTATGTGGGGAGGCTGCTGTTAGGTCAGCCTGTCCTCACAGGGCAAGTGCTTCAGCCACTAGCCAGTTTGGTGGGCCTTTGCTGAATTCACTCCAGATTATTTTTCTACTCTTTTCTGCCTGGAGGCTCAAAACTGGTTGCAGGACTGTAGATGCAGTCTCATAAGAGCTGAGGAGAGGGGTTAAAAATTACTTGCCTCAACCTCCCAGCTGTGCTTCTGCTAACACAGCCCAGGAGACCTTCTCTGCTTCCAGTACACACTGGTGGCTTATGCCCAGTATACCATCTTCTAGCACCCTCAGATCCTTCTCAGCAGAGCCACTCCCCAGGCTGTGGTGTTGCAGGGCTTTCTCTTTCTCTGGTGCAGGACTAGATATTTATTGTTGTTGAATTTCATAAGATTCCTATTGGCCCATTTCTTTGTACTGTATAGGTCACCCTGGAATGCAGCCTTGCCTCCAAGCATATTGACTGGATGTTTGGGTTCTTCTGCAATCTTGATGATTGGCTCCTCAAGGTCATTGACAAAGATGTTAAAAAGGAGAGGTCCCAGGATAGACCCCTGCACTACTCTTCTTGTCATAGGTCTGCAGTTAGAGTATGTCTGATTAACTGTCACCATCTGATAGTGCAACTAGCCTTTTACTGATACAGATGTCCACCCAACAAGACCATAACATCCCAACTTGTGTGGAAGGATATTACGGGAGACAGTGTGAGAAGTCCTGAGGTAAATGACACCCACTACTCCCTCCTCATCCACAAATCCAGTCATTTTATTGTAGTAATCAATTACATTGGTCATGTTGCATGTTCCCAGTAGCACCTTCTCTTCCACGTGCTCAGGAATGTGCTCCAAGAAAACTCATTCCAGGATTTTCCTAGGGACTGAAATTGAGGCTGGCAGGCAACTAGTTCAAGTCATCTTTTCAGCCTCTGTTGAGGATATATATATAAATATGGATATAATGTTTTCCCTTTTCCAGTTATGAGCAGTTGCCACTGATCTCTGACACACTTCCAAGATGACACAGAGCAGCCTTGGAAGGGTGTCAGGCAGCACACTCAGAACCCTTGGAGGCCGCCTGTCTGATGCAGTGGACTTGGATGGCTTAAATTCTCTCAAGATTTTCCTGACTTGATCCAGTGCTTCTCTGGTGCAGTCATTATTCTCCTCCTTGAACTCTCTTGTAAGTGAGGCTTAGAAGACCTTGCTGGTGTGAAGACTGATGCAAAGAAAATCCTGAGTTACCTTAGTCTTACCTGTGCCTACTGTTGTTATTTCACCCTACTTCAGCACTGGGCCTACATTTTCCTTGTTCAGCTTTTTATGAAGGTACCAGTACAGAAGCTTGCCCTTAATGTCCATAGCAGATCTCAATTCTAAATGAGCTTTGATTTTCATAACACCATATCTACATCTACTGGTCAGCTTTTCTGAATTTGTTCCTTCATAGTCTCTCTACTTCCACGTCTTTTATACTGCCTTTGACTACTTTGGAGCTCCACCATGAACAACCTGTTTAGGTGGGCTTGTCTCCTGATTAATCTACGTATTTTCCTGAGTATGGGCATTTTAGAGAATGCTGTCCTTAAAGACCTAACAGCTTTCCTGAACTCTTTTACCTTCAGCATTGCATTCTCCCATTAATTATTTGTCTTCCACTAACTAGTAATTTCTTTTTTAGTCTCAGGATCTTGAGTTCTACTATTTCATGGTAGCTGTGTCCAATACTACCATTGATTACCTCATCCGTGACCAGTTCTTCCTTGTGTGTGAATATCAGATCCAGCTGTGCATCACCCTTTGTTGATCCATCCACTACTGGCATTAAGAAGCTATCTCTGACACCCTCCAGAAATCAGCTGGATTTCTTGTGTCACACTGTTGCTCTTCCAGAAAATACAAAGGAGAGCAAAGTCCAGCCTTCCCAATTCTCTGCCCTGTAAGCATCAAGGTTCTGTTACCCTAAAACTTCTTTGGGTTGTTTAAAGACTTCATCTGCTTTTTTTTAATTCTAATTGATCAATCTGAAGCAAATATTCACCATATTGTCCGTCCTATAGAAGAGCTCCTTTAACAGAGGGCAACCACACTCCTTGTCTTCCCTGACTGTCTCTCTCAAAGAGCTTGTGTCCATATATTGCAGAACTCTATTTTTATGAATAGTACCACCACATCTTCATTACTTACATTATTCCAATTTTGTGACTTCACATGGACCTCAAGTTCTGCTTCCAGTAATAGTGATTAGCACACTTTGTTAATGGGAAAGAGAGAAAAATCATAGTGGTCTGTGAGGAAAGAGGGGTGCAGCCTGTGAAAGAAGTCTAATGGTGAAGATAGACATGTGGCATTTTCTCTTTTGCACATTCTTGATACAATAATTAGAATCTTATTTTATTTGCAGGCTAGCAAACCTGAAAAAGTGTTGCCTGTCAATTCCCTGAAGCTTTATCTTGGAGTGAAAAAGAAAATGAAGCCACCAACAAAGTAAGAATAGAAAAGGAAATTAAGTTCACCACTGTGTAGGAAGGTGCTTATATCGTCAGGAAAGGGGAACATAAAACATTGTGGAACAAGGAAAAGTCAAGAAGCCAATTGAAGTATGCTGAATTAAATTACCCTCTATAATATTATTTGTTCTCTTTCTATCTCTGTTTTTGTGTCCCATATTAACTCTTCTGTGCTAGGAAATTACTTTATTGATTGGCTTTTCTTAATCTTAAATGTATTATCTGTTGTGGATATGTTTGCTGCAAGCTCACTTAGTTTTAAAGTATGTGTCCTGCATTTCATTGGTGGACATACCGTCTTTGCTCCAAAAAAAAAAAAAAAATAAAAAAAAGCCAGGTAGTCATGGCCTTTAGAGATAGCTTCTTCACTACATGATTTTCTTTTTTCAGAATCCTTGTTATTTTGATGTTTTTTCTAGCTGAAGACTACAGTGCCCTTTACAAACATCAGTGACTATGTCTCTGGAAAAGAGCAATGAAAAATGACACCTGTTGTTCTCAGACGTTTCCAGCACTTGTTAGGACAAAGCTGTGAGACAAGGAGACAATGTACATAGGATCCTATCCCAAGGGGATTCTAAGTTGGCTGCAGCCTTTAAACACATATGCGTGAACTTTTGCTTTACAGCTGGCACATCAAAACAGCCCAAAAAGGTCTGCAAATTTCAAAGCTTAGTTGTGTTAAAGAAAAAGTTGGTGAGGATTTTCTTTGTGTTAAGCACAGAATGAGTAGATTAGTCCACAGTAGGAATAAAAAGATGAAGTAAACAAGTCTTTGCAGTTGGGTTCTTTCCTTGAGGTTTTTGAGTCTACTTTGAAAAGCAGACTTTGCAAAGTCTCTTCTGGATTTTTAGGAATATCTGTTTTTTTTCACCCGAGGCTTCATTTTACACCCGTGTCCTTTTTTTTCAGCAATTTTTAAATCTCTGTAAACTCATGTGATTCCTTCTCCTTATAGTGAAGCATACCTCACTTCCCTCTGTGGCTTCCATATTGCAGTGGTCTCTTTTCTGGGTACCATCTTAGCAGTTTTACTTGCAGCAGCTTTCAGAAAGTACAGCCACAGCCAAAATGAAGCAAGTATTTAGCCATAATGTGCAGAGCTTAGCTTTGTCCAGAAGAGAACATTCATTACCTGTGAATCAACTGTGAGAAAACAAGCAAAATCCATCATCAGACACACAATTTCATTCTAGATTTTCAGTGCCCATTTAAACTTTGTAAATTCCCCCCCCATTGCCTCCCTGTTTAAGAGCATTATATCAAAGTAATGAATCTCTGTAGTTTGAGGAATTTATCCCAGTCTTGAATTTCTGGAACTAATTTTTTTTTTTTTTAAATTTTGTTTCAGCTGGGGACTTGCACTATTTTCTGAAAAGTACCAGTGGTAGGTAAATGTGAAAAACATGATTGGTTTAATTGCAGTGTTTAGTATTTGTTGAAATGTCCAATTTAAAAAACTGAAAAGAACAGTTGAAAACTAATGGGCATTATTTTGCTTGCATGTTTACTTCTTACTATGTTTTTCTTTATGAACTGTGTTTTGACAATCTTTTGGAGTTAGGTGTCTGTCTCCCTTCTGTGACCACAGAGTAAACAAATTTCATAAATTTAAAATGATAGCTTTTTAAACCTATCCACATGCTTTAAATGAAGCACATGCATTGTCTTCAAAGAAGGGTAAAGTAATCATTTGAAGTATTTAAATGTCCCTCTCTTTTTATGGGCTTGTTAATAATGAATATAGACAGCACTCATAAATGAATGTGGGCACTGTTTGAAGTTGTTTAGAAGCCTATTCTTTGATATGTTAAACTGCAAAAAGAGTTTTTGTTATTTTTCTGGTTAATTATATGTTGCATTCTAGGTATTTATGTTGTGATGGACAAGATGCACAGATGGAGTGGATGATCAGCATTTTTACTGCACAGGTACTAATCTGATCAAAGAAACACAATTTTTACTGCTGCTATGAAAATCCCATTAAACTATGATATGTATGTTATGGATATGTTATAGGTATAGTATCTGGTATCCAGGTTAGCTTAGTTAACATTGACAATTCATTGTGTTGGCCAGACATTATCCTAAATTACATAGTAATCTGCTTGCTACTAGATTGTTAGTAAGGAAGAGGGGTGTACATTTGAGTGCCATTTAACACATCCTTGCAAATTCAGTTTGCTATTTACATAGGAGAAAGTGGGAGTAAGAGAGATGGGAAGAATTCAACCTGATAGAAGACTGGAACGTAGTTCAAGGCTTTAAAAGGATTTTGTATCAGTTTTTTTCTTGTCTTTCCTGTGATGCTCAAGAAACTTTGGGGAATATTGCTGTGAATAAACAACACTAGAGATACGATTACCTGTGAGCTTTACCTATTACATAAAGCAGGCTAGTGACAAGATTGTTGGCAATAGATGCTTTTTAGAGGCTTTCCAAAGCAGAATCTGACCTTCACAGGGTTAGACGTATAATTCATGCCTTGTAAGTAAGACTTTCAAATTTTTGTCTTATTCAGCTCCCTTAACTAAAGTCACTATTGTAGTTTCTATGGAAACAACCACAGGTCCTGGCATGCATCTCACGGGCATAACATGAGCGGTGTCACAACAAATAGGCTCAGGGGTTATTGATATAGGCTACTTAGAAATAACTCATACAAGCTTGGTAACTGTTGAAGTCCTTTTGATGCAAAATCACAAGAAGGGCAAACTATTAGGATTCTGCTCAGGTAGTGTGGGATGTAGAATGTTCCTCTGACAATACAGATAAAAAACTGAGAGACACTGTTCAATGTTCAGGATATTCTTTCTAGCAAAAAAAAAAAAAACCAAAAAAAACTTCATGTGCATTTTTTTTAGTTATTGTGAGCTAACATTATTGCTTTCTTAAAAACTTCATTCCAATGAATAAGCACTATAATAAATTAGGATTAGCTGTACTAATGAGCTACATTGGGAGTGGGGTTCGGTTTTGGAGGTTTTTTGAATTTGGCTTTTGTGTGTGTTTTTTTTTTTTTTTTTTAATCAGCATTCTGGATGTCAATGAAGTTGTCAGTCTTTCAGTTACATGAGAAAAAAATGTGGTAAAAATGCAGATTTACTGTATCCTTCTTATTGTAATCTACTGCTTTAAGTACAATTTACAGTGAAAATCTCTTTCAGAATTCAATGGCTTATGTTGCTAAAGATTAAATGTTTTGCCAAATGTTTTGTATTATGCAGTAGCAGACAATTATTATCACATTATCTCACTTGTAAACTAGAAAACTGTATATGTCAGCCAAGGTTATTTCTAGTTAGAATTTTCAAGTTGAGGCCGTCTTTAGGGAAAATAGCTTATCTTTTACCTTATCTGACATCACAGTAAGAATATGTTTATGTTAGGGAGACTGCAGGCAGCACATTTTGCTTGTCAGTGGAATAGCTTAGATTAGAAATTGAAAAATACTGTGAAGTGGTAGGTTTCTAAGTGTTAAGACTGACATTTAATGAACCAGTGCAATTAGAAGTGTGATAACTCTGTTACTGTGCTCCTCAGTGCTTGAGCAGAAAAAGACTTCATTGGTAACTAGTATCAGTAAGATGGTAATACTGTTATCTTTTCTTCCCATTTTCTGATCAAGTTTATTCCTGTAGTATCAATAGTGGAGAGAATATAAACAGCAAAGTGTAGATACCACTGTAATCTGGTAACAAAAGTACTTTTGATACAGAAAATCATGTTAGCCCAGAGGTTATTAATCTTGTACTTCAAGCTGGTGAATTGTAAGAGGGTTTGAAGGAGGACCATTGTTTCTTTCAATTCTATGCAAAATCATCCTGAAAAGTATGACTGAAACTTGATTCTCAAATTTTGTAATAGTTTTTTTTTTTTACAAAATCACTTAATAGCATATGTAGCATACAGGTAGAAGTAACTAACTGATTTGAAGATGAACACAACAATATTCTTCCAGTTCCATCACCTGTGAACAACTAGAGGGAGATGCATTATATTACCATGAGGTGCAGTTAAGCAGATAGGTCAAAACTATGAATAAATACAATTATTATGTGGGCCTAATGCATGGCTAGTATTTCCAATGTACTTTCCCAGAGTTCTATTTTAAGAAATTTTACAGACACAAAAGGGAAATCAGGCTGCTTAACTGACAAGAATAGTTTCCTTAAGCTTACTGAGAATTAAGGAAGGCAGTTTCTTTCAGAAAGTCCATGTCCATGTGAATCTGAAAAATGCTTTTTCTAAATTTGGAACTAGTTTCTGTTCTCTAAACTACTGTTCTAAGTCAATAATCACTGATTCTGATGGCTTTTTAATAGGAACACTGTTTTTACTTGCAAACCATCTGCAGGCAGGATCACATCTCCACAACCTAATTTTTCTATACAGTCTTGAAGAGACTTCTTACTTCATGGATTTGCAAAATTGAATACCATTAAAAATTAAAGGACCTTAAAGATTTTGACACCTGTGAAATTAAATCTATTAGAGATCTGGATAGTGTCACAGAACTGTTTATGTTGGAAGGGACTTCTGGGGATCATCTAGTCAAACCCCTCTGTTTGAAGCAGTGTCAGCTAAAGCAGGTTGCTCAGAGCTGTGTCTAATCAGGTTTGAACAACTGGAGACACCACAACCTCTCTGCACAATTTGTTTTGGTGTTTAATCACTCCCACAAAATGTTGATTTTAAGGTTCAGACAGAATTCCTTGTTTCCTATTTGTTATAGCCAATACCCTGCATTGGTAGTTTGCCAATATTTCCAGAAAGCATTCTCAGCTTTCATTAAGGTTCCTTTGCAGTTCTGACTTGCCAATTTCCTTTGGAGTTGTGCTGATTTAGCCTCATGCACACTTCTCCAAGCTTTAGAAACTGTTCTTCTCTAGACCTTGTACATCCTCTTTGATTCAGGGAATTGCATGTTGAAGCAGTTTCAGAAAATACTCTTAGACTATGTTGTCCTCAGAGCTATCTCAACATCACCAGAGGAGTCTGAGCTTCAAGCACATGTGCTCAAATTTCTACATGTGAAAGTTCATTACAGACTACTTACAGAAAGAGGTTTTCAGATTTATTCAAAATATTCAGTTAACGATCCCCCCTGCCCCTTCCTAGTCATGTTTTTCATTCAGAATGAAGCTTCACATTTTGAAGTTCTCCCCAAAACTCACCTGTTTCAGTAGAGCCAGAGCAAAGACTATTAATGAATCCAGATCTGTTTATTTTTAGATTGTAATTTTGGAACATTCAGAATGTCAAGTAGTTTCCTTTTGAATTACATGTCATTAGTCTAGGTTAAGCAATGATTTTCTCATAAATTATTAAAATAAATTTTTAAATGCTTGCAAAGTAGAGTAATTTTATTTCAGAATTTTTTGTTTGGACTCTTGAAACATGCTTTGTAGAACTGAAATTATGAATCAAATCAATGTGTTTTGTTTTATGTTTTCTATTCTTAGAATGTAATTAAAATAATAATATGGAGGGAAGATGTTTGATACATGAAAATTGTATATAGTGACATTTTGGTTCTGTTCACTCAATATTCTACACCACTTAATATTAATATTAACTTTAAGCACCATAATGTTTTCTCCCTTCTCCCACAATAGAAGGGCATGGTGTTGTGCTGTAGATAGAAAAGAATGTATAATTATGAAATTCCACATCAAAAATAAGGAATAATTTTGTTCTTCAGCATGCAGATATATGGCCACCTGCTGGAAAAGCAAGAAAACAGTCTATCACTAAAAGTCCAAAGATCGGAGGCTTAGCGCTAATTCCCATTCATCAGGAGAACACTTGTAAAATCAAAGGGAGTATGGAAGTAAGTGTGGTTTAATCTTGGTGTAGATCTTCTAACCACAGTGCTGTACTTCTAAATAGTCCCATAATAATGAACTCACTAGAGCTGGATAAATAAAAAATGTAAATGCTCTTATTAGCAATGTTTTTGTCATTAAATTGTCCTAACTGTTCTTTTAATGAAAAAACAGCGTAACAAAACATTGTAACCTAAATTTGTGTCACCTCTTTGGCTCTTCAGTAAATCAACAATGGATTTTTATTTGTTTGAGGTTTTTTTGAGCAATGGTTGTTCATTAGAAGTAAGTAGGGCTTTTACCTGGAAATATAATGCACATTATTGCAGTGCACTTTATTACAGTTTTATTTTAATAAGGTCCTTTGAAAACTGACCCGCATGCATATTCTAACACCTCTTCTGTGTGAAATAACTGCACTGTTTAGTTATCTGCTCTGTGAATGTAATGGAAAGCTCAGATGGAACTAACTGTGATAGGTTTAAGTTGTAGTATTATTAATCTCGAAGAACAGGAGGGTCTAATTACCACTCTTTGCAGAGACAGAGCTGTGTCAGTACATTACATGCACTAGTGATATGTCTTAACCTTATCATATTAGCTTGAGATGAACTTCTACTAGCCACTTAAGAGATGCTAATGCCTGTGGGGAGGATTTATTTGCCTTACTCCCAGCTGAGAAGCAGCTTTGGCAGCATTCTGCCTGGGAAAATTAGTGATAACTAGAGTGTTGAAACAAAAGTTTCATCCTTTGACTATATGCAGTATTACTTCTTGCATGATTTAGAAGATTTTGAGGGAAGGTAGATAATATAGCACATGTTATTGCCACTCACAGAAACAGGGGTTCAGATGCAGATAGTGAAGCAGACTCAGTTCCATAGAAAACCAAAAGCAAAGTAGTGCTTTATCTAAAAGGCAACTCCATCTTTTGTTACACTTTCTTCAGGCATTTCTGTTCTGCCTTACCAAATGAGTATAATACAGTGTGAATGCAGTTATGGTTTCCCTATTTTGTTTAATTTATCCTTTTGCTTTAATCTTCTCTCAGGAAGAATTTTTGCAATTCTTTGATAAATTCTATCTAATAATTGCATTTTTAAACTTTTTTGGATGAAAGTAAACTATAGGTCTTGTTATTCATAACTCTTAGGTATGTCTTTTGTCCTTTGTGCAGGTACCATTGAGATCTCTACTACATTCTTTGAGTTTGTTACAAATTCAGACATTCTATCATAAAGGTTTTAATGGATTTTGAGATTTCTGATTTAAAATCCTTAATACCTTGTATCAGTATAATTTTTTTTATTTATTTATTTTGTTTTTCTTCATATTGTACTTCATTAGGAAGGACTGTAATTTGTAAACTGCAGCTTGAAGGAAGTCTCCATTTAGACTTAAAAGTAGAAGATCACAGTCTTCATTTTCTGTGGCATGACTAGATATAGAGAAGTTGGATGCAAAGGATATTTTCATGCTTGAGGAAGGTTACACAAAATTATATAATGAAAAATAAAATCTAACACTTTTTTAACCTGGAAAGCCAAAACTGGAAGAAACAGTAAAATAGTGGTGCAAAGTTAAGTATATGATATGGTTTATTAACGAGAAATATTGTACAGAATTGTAGTCAGTAAAGTGATGGATTCCCATGTCAAGACCATACCTTCAGTCATTCCATGGATTTGTAGTACTTCTCCAACAAGCAAAAATACCTCAGTTTTAAAGCATTAGAGAGTGATAAGAGGAGCAAGCATTTTCTGAAGCATGCTGGTTCATGAAAAATGCAGGTCTGTTTATAGATCAATGCATAAATTTGTAGTAGAAATGTGATCAAAATTATCCTCCTATGGGTGGGAAAAGAGACTGAAAGTTTTCCAAACAGTGAAAAAGTGACATGTGTCATACAAAGATAAGGGGAGGAAAACCCCCACCTAAATCAAAGTTACCCAAAATCCAATAAGTTTAATAGTAATGTTCTGTGCTAAAAAAAAAAATCTGTATTGAACGGCTTCCTTTCCCATTATTGGAAGTGGTTTTATTGTGTGCTAACAAGACAAATGTAAAATATAGAAAGTTTGAAAATACTGTATGACTAAGAATCCTAATAATCAATATAATAATATTTCTATTATTTCTACACCACTTGTTGCGTACATGGATAATGCATTTAATTATATGCATATTTTCCATATAGAATCATTTATCTGAAATAGAATATCCATATCTGCAGTAAGTCTGTAATTTTATTTCAGAATGCTGTAAGATTGAGGAATGAGGAAAAACTTCCTTTCAAGCTATAGTCAGATGCCATCATGATTTATCATAGGTTATACTCGTGTAGCATTTTGAAAGGAAGAGTATGTCACAGGGATAACGAAGGATGGAAACAATAGCTCCATATTTTTTTGCTAGCAGTGTGCAAGAAAAGAAAAAATGTAGTTAGATGTACATAATATCAGTTGACGGAAAGAATCAATTACTTGATTAGAGGGCTGAAATTTAGAGGCAAACAGCTGCTTCTAACATGAAATTTCTGCTTTTTACATTAGGGATTCTTGGGAGAAAACTATGGAGTCCAGCAGTGTAGTTTACAGCATGTGACTAACGGTGGGCAGTGGATCAAATATTAAGAAATAATATTATGAAGAAATCTGATGAAGCAGTTCTGTTATTTATAGGGGAAATGGTTTGTAAATGTTAGTGTTCTAATTTGAAGAACACAATTTGGTTCCATCCATTAAATATTTTTACAATGCAAATTTCTAGGAATTAAGTTTCTTGTATATACTGAATCTATTTCAAAAGTTGAAAATACTGATTGTTAAGTGGCTACATGCCAATATACAAGACTGTTTCAGAGCAATAATCAGCTTTTGAATTTGTATACTGTATTAGACCTCCTACTTCCAATATATAAAGTGATCTTGCTTATACCCATTTTAGCAGGAGAACTATACTGATTTCAGAAATGTAGCTGGTATTTTTCTTCTCAAAAGATGCAAAATTGAAACATGATATAAGTTCTATAAATAGAAGATTGTTGCTCCTGACTGAATTTCACAAGTAAATATACCAAGGTTTGCTGAGTAACAGTGAATAACTTGGTGTGTGTTACTGTGTTTTCTGAAAGGTACTGCATGACAGTTGACATTTTACATATGGCATGCATATTATCACTGATTTTTATGGAGTTGCTAATCCATGTCATAAGAGCAAGTTGTCTCATGGAAACCTGGTACCTCATATATGTTAAAGCAAATATGAAAAAATATTCAAAAACTAGAGAGGAGCTAGTCTGGATACATATCCCTGAGTGTTCTCCTTAGGAGTGCACTTTAGAAGCAAATCCTCCTGTTGTTCCCCTTTACTGTGTTTTGCTTCAGGTTGTGGAGTGGTTCTGGAGCATGTGAACTTGGATTGCTTTCAGATGAAGCCGAAGATGTTCTGCAGGAGTATATCTAATGCACTGCAGCCAAAAATAGGTCTTCTGACAGCAGGAGAAAGCTAAAGCTAGTCTGAAGTGTATTTTAAAAGGCAGAAGCCATGAAATAACATTAGTGTGGATGTTGGTTTCACAGCACTTTTCTGTCAGTGTACAGATAAGCTCCTAATGGGCCACATCAGTTGCAAATTTAGGTGCAGCATTTGATTTACCTTTCATTTCCTGCAGCTTAAGAACTTGAAAACAGCCCACCAATATGGAACAGTGGCATTGCCATCAGTTTGTTGATTTATCTGAGTTCCCATTATATTATTAAAAACTGCTTTCCAAAATTTGACAAAGCAGGTTGTCTTGATAATTTATCAGGCAGTACTGAACAGCTGCTAAAAATGTGATCATGTAATATTCTCTCTTTTACTTTCATGGAACTCAGTCACTGTATTTAATTTAAGAATTCTGAGTTTTTAAGAGTATATGGATCTGCTGTACAACATGAAAATTAAGACTGGTGTGGCAAAAAGAAAAATCAAATTGTGACTACGAAAATGAATGTCTTCACTGTCATGGTGCATTTGAATGAAAGATTTGTGTAATTGTCAGAAATGTTACTAATTGAGAAAACATGCTCACTAAAAATGCTTACTAAGTGATAATGGCACAAATTGTGGGAATTTAAAACTATTAACTGTGCTGTCTTTGCTCTTGAGTAAAATTGATTGTTCTTTTAAATTGTTATGTAAAACTAACGAGCAAAAATTGCAATCTAAATATTATTGAATATTGTGTGAATATGAATGATCTTAATTCTCTTTGTTTCTTTGCTTAGAACATAGAAGTGCAACCTGGGAATCCAAAATGTGGTGACCATCATGAAAATTACTTTCTGGAAGAAAGAAAAAACTTGAAAGAAAAAGCATCTATTGTGGCACAGTGTTTGGAACGTAAGGAGGAGAAAGTGCGAAATCATACAAAAGCACATCGGAGCTTGATCTCTGCTGAGGATGTAGGTGCAGGAATGACTGACCCACACCAAAGACCACAGAAGGCACTGAGGAAAAATAAGAACAAACCAAACAAAACTACTTTGGAATTAGATAAAAAATTGCCATCAAATGTGATTCAGGAGCTCAATACAGTGCTGCAGAAGAACAGAGCACTTAATGATGAAAGCTCCAGCTGATTTCCTGAGTTTGAAGTCTATGTATATGTGTGTGTGTGTATTTTCGGGGTCAAAGTAGTCTTTTTTTGATGTGTGTAGTTTGTACAATGCAGAGGAAATATAATTTGTTTATATGTAGCTGTTGATTTTGTATATGCATATATCGTTTTGTAATTTAAGATTGAACTGAGAGAACCAATTATGTAAAACTGAAATTTGGAAGTTTTATAGTGCAGTGCAATGACATCAGGGTTTTGACTATTATTTTTTGGTTTAGATTTTGTTTGATATAATACTTCCAAGCACTATCAAAAGCTTATGTTCTGTTTATACTCTGTACCATCATGTAAGTACTGGAGAGATATTTTTGGAAGGAAGACAAGATATATTCTGAACTTCATACAGTTGGCTTGCAATAGTTTTAATTGTCTGACACTATAAAAATTAGTAACATCTGCTTTGAAAAGTGATTTTTTCTTGCATGTAATTTTTGTTTTTTAAATTTTAAGAATAAAATTAGTGTCTGCTTCCATAGATTTTACCATAGATTTGAATAGCCCTTAGAAGAATCAAAAGTGAGGGGAATGTAGTAGATGTGACAAACTGTTAGTTCTCAAAACTGTGTCTATATGGTATATATCTGATTATGACATCTAAGCAGTGAGATAGAATACTGAAGATGACAAAAAAGTTTTCAGAGTAACATCTAATTTGAAAAGGTACCTGAATTTCAAGAAAAGCATCATTTTGTTTTGCTCAACAGGCTGAAGTAATTTTATAAAAAGACTTGTTAGCTCAGGGTGGCAAAGGCATACTTTTCTATCAGTGTTTGGATAGAGCTTTCTTGGTGCTGACAAAGTAGCTGGCACCTGACAATATTCACATGAGAAATTAATTTCCTGAAGAAAAAATGGTCCCTACACAAGCATAGCTATCAGAAGGATACTAACTCACTCAATTAAGAAGTGCCAGTTACTAAGTGGGTGAGGAGATCACCTCCTCCCTTTGCTATAAGGACAAAGGTGAACAGTATGCTGTTTGCAGGGACTGGCTCCTGCTTGTTCTACAACTGTAGCACAGCTGCTCTTCAGGGAGGAGAGGTCCCACAGATGACCCAACAGCCTCATTTGCTGCATTCTGGGTGTGTAGGTAGCAGTTCCTGAAACGTGTACTAACCTACAGCTACTTTGGTTTCCAAACCCTAAGTTCCTTAAATTAAAAAATCAGAAACAGACTTCAAAGCAAAAACCTATGTGAGCAATGAAATTATATGGTTTTCTTCAGCTGTTTTGTGGTTCTCGCCTTCACTTATCCCATGGCATTACCTCATTCCTTTCTCATGGCATATCCCAGTTTTTACTTCATCCCATAACAGCTGGCTAGGCAAAAGGCACTGCTGTGCTGAGGCTGCTGCCAGGTGTTGCAGGTGCTGTCTGGTTAAGCAGTAGGACCAGCAGAGCAGAGAGCTAATGAGCTCACACTACACCTTTGCTGCAGAAGAGGCATTAATAAGAGCATCTGCTTTGTTTTGCTGCTCTCCCTTTTGTGGTTTGATTAGCCACTCTGCCACAGATTTTCACCAGCCTTTTAAGAATTTACTGACACCTTTAGTGTTCCTCAAGTTTTATTGGAATTGGCCAGACCTCTTAGGGTAGAAGAGATAATTTTAAACTTTCATGTTTGTTGGAAATTGTTTTACATAGACTCTTAATTCCTTAACATTTCAAAGGAAAAAATCAATTTAATCAGCATCAATGACATTTTATTTTCATTAATGCATAGTTTTGAGGATGCTTTATGTTGCTACTGAATTTATTCCCACCCAGAAGCAATGTGCTCACTTATTCCCTCTTCTATTTTTGGTAGTCACAGGTGCTGTAACATTTCTCACATCATTTACTTCTATTCTTGATTGCATTGAACAGTTTAATTGGAAAAAGATTTTGTCTGATTGAAGAAATTAGACAAACGAGTCAAATAATGTATCTGGCAACTCTGCTAGGAAGTACAGGGAAAACAAGATCAAATGCAAGTATTCTATAGTGTTTAGTATTTATCCTTCTGGAATGTAGGACTGACAGAGCAAGTTTAGTCTTTCAGACTTTGCACTTACCGTATTTGTCTAGTTAAATCTGAAATGAGTTTGTAGATTTTAATTTTCCAAGTGCACTATTGACTGTTTTGCTACCTTTAGTTTGTAATTGAGCCTCTTCTAATCATTAAGGCCCTGTCTCAAGAAAGCATATAAGCCTGAACTTAAATTGTATTGACTAAAGCCAGTGCTTAATGTTAATAAGCACATTCTTAAATGCTGATTTGAATTGGGGCCTAATGCCATCAGGAGAAATTACTTTCTGTTAAGGCTGGACCTGAATGTACTGATTAGAGTTGTATTTTTGTTTGCAAATATTTTTCAGTCCTGAGTTATGGTTGCTGTATTGTTTATCTTTTTATTGGGTTCTTAAAAATGACATTCAGCCTCACTGCTGAAAGCCTCATGCATCATTTAAGCCCCTACACTAATGGAATAAATGGAGCAATGTAAGGGGTTTGTGCATTGAAGTGAATATGTCTGTGAAGAAAATGTTTTGTGTTTGGGTTATTTTTTTTTTATTGGATCTAAGGACTGCAGAAACATTTGTTCTATTTCAAAAGCATATCACAAATAAACTAGCTGTATAGCTGCTGTTAAAAAGCCCTAAAAATCAAACACAGAAGATGTTTACTAAAATATGTTTAAATTTGATTTTGTATGTGTGTGTGTATATATATATATGTAAAAATTTTATGTATGTGTATATGTGCATACAGTTATGTGCACATCCACAGAGACACACTGAATGGTGACAGTGTTAACCCAAGGAAAATTTATTTAGGAAAGGAGCAATTAATTATTTCACATAGATATCAACGTTTCGGACCACTTATCTGACATATTGTTGTTGCACTACAGATTTCAGATTGATTTAAGACTTATAGAATAAATGTTTTGCTGCAATACCTTAGTGGCTGCTGATCTTTTATTTTTCTTGTGCCATATTGTGGAGTGGTAAAGGAAGTGTAATATTTAAAGAGTTAATGCTAACTATTTTAATAATAATAAATGCTCTTTCTCTGAAAGAGATGATGGATTTTTTTTTTCCCCAGGAAAAAAAAAAAAAAAATCAATAGAAGTGACTTTAAAAGAATCCTGTATATCTTTCCATATGCAAGGTATTGAAAAACTTGGTGTTTACTTTCTGATCTGCAAATTAACTTTAATGAGACAGCTATTTTATGTATAGGTTTTATAACAGTGGGAAGATTAGAATTAAAATCTCAGTAGATCTCAGGTTCATCATTACCTTGTTAGATTTCTGCAACTATCATAACAATAAAGCTGTTCTCTGTTTTCTTTTTTCCTTTAGTTGAGCTGTGTATTGGCTAATATTTTGGAACTTTTCTTTGAAACAAATCTTTTTCCGAGATAATATTTTGAGCTACCATTTCAAAAGAGCAATTTGACTAATAGGTTTTGTGCCTCATCAGAGACTGCTTTAGTGTGGAGCCAATCTGACCAGCTGAGATCTACAGAGTGTGTCCATACAGAGCTTACTTTTACTGCGTGACTCATGTTGAGACACAGTTTCTGCACTATAAGGTTCTGCAAATGTTATCCAAGAATCTGTCCAGCGGGGGAAGGATATCCCCAACGATTTCCTCAGTTGATGAAGAGGACTTGGCCATATCGTTGATTTTTGTTCCTTTGTTGTGAAGAAAGAGCAGGCTGTTGTGCCTAAAGCAAGTAGTTAGAATGCTACTGGCTCTGTCTGCTAGAGGCAGCCCTGGGGTGCCTTCCACTGTCACCTATAGGATTAGTTTTGGACTTCTCTGCAGATACAGGTTTATCAGAGAATAAATGTTACAGGGAGTTTTATTTCACTCCTATGATTCTTCTCTCTCCTGATACAGTGCTGGTACAGTTTGTGTTCCAATGAGTGCTGCTGGGGATAGTGGGTACCTGCAAGAGTGAGGAGGTGAGGAGTGCATATCTTACTGGCTGAGACACATTGTTATGAGCCTTCCCTATCATAGCACCATTCTAATTTTTAAATCCCGTTTTCCAGTGCAACTGTTTCAGTGGGAATGAATTAGTTATCAGACTGTTGCTGGCATCTAACTTAGAACACTTTCAGTTTTGCCTGAGTCCAAAAGGGGAAAGGAAGTCCTTGTGAGCATAACATGATCTAAAAAAATACATGGGATTTGGGCTACTTAAGGAAAACCTGCAGTTTCAATAAGTTATGCTAGGAAATCTAAACTACTTATATGTGGGGTCAAAACATCACCTTGATGGATGGAATGTATTCCAAGTTGAATTGTTTGAATGCAATATGTAATAATGTGCAAAAGTGAGCCCATTGGCAAAATTAGGAAGATTCAGAATGGTTGGGTATGTTCTATAAAGTATTTCTGCTTCAGACCTACCGGAAGTATTCTCTATGTTATCAAAAAAAAAAAAAAAGGTATTTGTCAAATTCATGTTTTGAGGCTAGATTGTTCTCTGTACAAAAAGGCAGGAAGCCTTGCAAAGTTTTCTTCATGGTTCACATTAGATTTGGAAGTTGCACTGCTTTCCTTGCAACTCCGCTGCAAATGGGATTCATCTGCAGCCCAGTTAAGGGGAAAAACAGTCCTGCTATTTTAGTTCTTACCACTGCTGTAGCTTAACTGTTCATTTACTGTCTTTGCTGAAATTTCTTTGAGAATATTCCTGTCATGCTTTGCAGCTCATGTTTGACTAGAAAATCATGGTAGTCTGTGATACTGAAGATGAAGAAGGCTGTAGATGCTAATGCTGCAATTGCAATAGGCAACTGTATCTTCCTACATACTCTTGCCCTACAGTAGGTTTTTGGGGTGCTTTGCTACTTGCTTAGCCTACCTGACCTTACTTGAGCCTTTCCTACGTTTTGTTCTAGACTGTATTCTACGTCATAGACTCTGGAACATCCTAACCTTTGGGTTGTCTTCTGTATACA